ACCAACAAAAAAACCCCAAACCAAACCCAAAGCACTTCACCCAAGATCTGTTCAATCCTCCTACCGCAGTTCAGAGCTCGCCAACTTTTGGGAACGACAGGAGAGAAAAGGAGGGAATGAGGTGGAGAGGAGAGAGAATTAAATTATTCCCAATTTGTACCGATGAAAAGCTTCAAGTAAAAGGAAATCCACTTGTTAAAGATCTTGCTACATGCACACAGTCCCCTCGTCAGCTGAAAGCCACAGTAGTTACAGCATTGGGTATAACAGCAGGTTGATCATTCCTAAAAAAACACTGGCAACGTTCCTTCATCCTCAAGAACTCCCATCCGCCGTTCCCGTCCCGAAGCCCCTTAAAAAGCATTTATGGTTCTGCACTTCTCGTTCCAAACCGGAGGAAAATGGTAAACACATCTTCTCTTGCTGCAGTCCCAAGCCAGCAGATCCTCTTTCCCCAGGGAGCTGGGTGTCATTTCCGAGTCTGGCTCTTCTTTGGCACTGCGGGTCGCTTGGCCTGCCACAAGTGGTTATGGATCGTCAGGGCGTCCACGCTGACGGACATGGTTTTGGCTGGAATCACGTTAAACTGTTTTCTGTCCGAGCTGTACTTATAGAGTTTGTCAATCATCTTCTTGGTGATGCTCTTTGGCCCCGTTCCTGTCAGCTTGTAGATCTCCTCCGTGTCGGGGTAGTAGCAGTAAAGTGCTCGGAACTGGCAGCCGGCGTCGCGGAACAAGATGATGTAGTGGTTGGCGTCACATTTTTCTAGTTCCTGCGTTCCCAAAAAAAAACCAAAAAAAAAATGAGGAAAATTCCCATCTTATGCCCAGCTTCAAGCTTGCACTTAAGAGCTGAATAGCTGTTTTCAGTAACTCTGATTTTCAGGCCTTTTCTAAACCTACAAGGGGAACTGATCGTGTTTTCCACAAGCCCCACAGTCATGGGAAGGGAAGGGAAGGATCCCCCAGCACAGGCATATTTTAAGAAATGGAATTCATGCAACACACCAGTGGGACTACAGAATTAGCATTACAGACACATTTGTTGGTGAGGGCATTAATAATTTACCTCTAATATTGAGTTCTTATGTGGTTCATTCACTTTTCCAGCAAGACAGCAGTGAGATATAGCGTTGTGAATAATAGGCTTGTTGGATTTGCTGCTGGGTTCCTTAAATAATTTTGGACCTAGGGAAGATATAAACAAGTAAAAATTATTTGTCTTGCACTTATCAACATTAACATTTACATTCATAGTGAGAAAAACCCTTCTTTTTTTCCAGAATGACTGACTTTCAGAGATATTAAACTGAACAAAATACACCTGGCAACTTTCTCACAAGTCACAATGTGTCACATCAAACACACCATGGGGTTTTCTGAGCTGGTATTTCTAACAAACAAACAAACAACCAAACAAACCAACAAACAAAAGAGGCACCTGTGTATTCTGCCACTGAAGCGATAGAAGATGCTGTGGAAGCGTTTTCCCAGTCTCTCTCTGTGTTCCTGCTGGGATTTCTGCTCAGAATGGGTAAGGACTCCATTGATTCAACTCTGGGGGGGAGATAAATAAAAAATTTCATGCCAAGATTTTGGGGTTTTGTCCCTCTAATCTCCCATAAATTCAGCAGCTGCTGGCCCTGAGTGGAACAGGCTATTTATTCTCCCATATCCTCCCCAGAACAGTCTGACTCTCCCTGCGAGGTATCAAAGCAAAACTCTGACTCCTCTGGGAGAAAACAGAACAAAACTGCAAGTCTGTACAGAACACTGGGGTTGGCAGCCACATAAACCAGATGAATTCACCCATCCCTCGGTGCCTCTGTGCCAGAGAGCTGCAGCAAACAGCTCTGAGGCCCAAGTGCCCCCACGAGGAGTGAAGTGCAGCCCGGCCGTACCTCTGCGAGGGGGTGCCACCCGAGTGAACACTTTCAGGCTCAGTTGTTGCTGCTGAGGCCAAAGACAGACTGGAACCAGACTGAGCACTGCTCAAATTATCAGCTGCAAAACAGAAGGGAAACTGTCAGGCACGTTCTGTTCCAGCACACCTGCAGATGGAGAGCCAACAACCAAACCCTTACGTGTGGAAGAGCACTTTGTCCCCGAATCGCTGTAAGACTCTTCACGATGGACCGACTTTGGCCTGGGTTTTTTGGGCTTGGATTTGGGCTTTCCAAGCCCTTGCTCCTCCAAAATTTGCTGCTGTTTTTTCCTCAGATACTCCTGCTTGATAAGTTCTCTCCGAGCCTTCTCCTCCTCTTTCCGTATCCGGTCCTCCTCGGCCTTGCGGCTGAAAGGCAAACGCACCAGAACGTTCAACGTGGAACGGTTTCCCTCATCCTAAAGATAAATAAAAACATCCTTTTCCAGGTGTCATTACCGAGCTTCATCTCTTTTCTGTTCCACCTCGGCCTCCAGCTGCTGTTTCCGCAGCCGAGCCTCCTCGGCTTTGCGCTGCTGCTTCAGCAGGAACGCCGCGCGCTTCTTGGCCAACTCGTCCTCTGCCTTCTGCTCATCCTGCAAAATCCAAAGGGATGCAGACTTTTAGGAATGTGTGAAGCTGGATATCACAAGGACTCCCTCAAATCTCCCTGGAATCCTCAGTAAACATCAGCTATTACTTTTGGAAATCTTCACGCGGAGCGTAAAGCAGAATTTTATGTTGTGGTTTCAGTGCTCCCTTAAGTCTGTGAGGAGATAAAAAAGGGGCTCATCTTACTCTGACTTGGTTTTAAGTATGTTAAAAGATCACAAAACCTTCTAGGGCTGCAAAGTACAACGCAGCCAGGATGGACAGCACAGACAGCCAGTGGAATCATAATGACACAACTTCAATCGCTATGGAAAGCCAGAAGTTCAATTCACTGAGATTGAGACAGCTTAGTTCTGACTTTCTTGGAAGAGAAATTAGAAGTATCATCATGTCAGCACATTTGGGGTATTTACAATAATCACCGCTAAGCACAAATTAAGACACTAAATGTTCTGAGAGCAGTTCTGACCTCAGTGGAAGGAGCAGAAACATTATTTGAAGAACATCCAATCCAATGATGTAAAAAAAACGACTGTACTAAAGTCACAATAAGCCTAACAACAACCCTTTCCCCAAGCCAGATTCAGGTGTGAAATCAGAATAATTATTTAAATGTAATACTCATTCATCATGAGCCATTACAGGACAAAACCAAAAGCTGCATTTCTTCCACTGAATATTCTAATTTTTCATTTGCATCTACAGTTGTACGAGTAAACCCTCCTTGATTTTTAGGCTGCTCGAAATCAGAGAAATTTGGGTGCAAATGGCAAAAAAAAATCCCCAGTTCAGCCTCCCAGCTCCCTGACAAGTGTCTCAGCGTGCTCAGCAGGCTTTGACTGGGTACCTGTGTTCTGTCAGAACGTTTTCTTTCAGCTGAACCAGATTCACGGGGTGCTGAGATTTCAAAATGGTAAATTCCTTCCTTGCATTCTGTGCTTCCTTTTTTTTTTTTTTTTCAAGTATTTACAACACATTTTCTGTCTCTCAGACAGAAAAAAGAACTCAAGGAAAGAGAAGAAAATCAAAATAGTGGTTCCCAGTAAAGCGAAAAAGCACCAGGATTTCATACATTAAGTCAAACCCTTCTTTTTTCCACAAGCAATTATTTTCCAGTGCAGCTTTTTGATATCCAAATACTGCGAGCAGTGTGTGCTGTGTTCCACCAGAATGAAGAACAACAGCCCTCGTGCTGGGTGAGGAGCAGCAACCAAAGAGAGAGAGAGAGAGAGAGAGAGGTAATAAATTTACCTTGAAGAAAAAGCCCACACCAGACTTCTGATCACCTTCACTGATCAGATCCGTGGAGCTATCCTGGTTTTCAAGCTCTCCTTCCTCTGGAGCTTTCAAGTCAGACAAGTCCACCTCAATGAGGTTGGCTTTGCTTCTCAGCGGCTCCTCCACCGGGACGTTCTCTTTGCCTGAGCCATCAGAAGAATTCAGCCCCGTGTCCTTGAAGCTGCTGTTCACCTCCTGGCTCATTTCAGACAGAATGTTGGCATCTTTGGAGGTGGAGAGGACAAGTGCCCTTTGATTGCTCTCGTCGTGGAGTCTGTAGGTATCAAAGAAACACTTCTCCTGAGAGCCACTTCCGAGGTCGGGACTCCCTTCCAAGCCCATTTCCGTGGGTGTCTTTGCCAAGCTGTTGGGTGGGAATGGTCTCAAATGGGGTAGGTTTTCTAGGCTTGGGGTTGGGGTTTTAACTCGTGTTGAGTTTTGCTGTCTGTCTTTAGGGACTTTGAGATCAGCCGGTCTTCCTGACCGAGGAGTCCTCCCTTGGCCAAACCGGGGTGGCTTCCGCAGGCTGTTCATTCCGGTTGGAGACAGGGGCTCCACAAAATGAATCGAAGGCTTTACCTTTTGGTCCTGAGAGTTACTTCTGGCTCCTGGGGATGGCACTGTTGGAGATTTCATAAGCAGCTCCTGTTGCTGGGAAATCTTTAGGATGGCCTGCTGAAGGGTGCTGATTGTTTCGTTCAGTTTTTCAATAGAAAGGTCACATTCATTTATGTCCACCTCAGTCACGTTGTCTTCTAGGAGGGCGACGGAAATGATTTTACTCTTTTCCAGATCATGTATAGCAGCAGAGTCTTTTGCTTTGTGTTGCTCAGCAAAAGCCAGGCTTTCCTGCATTTTGACTTTCGCCACTTCTTGGGAATCACCGAGCATTTCTTCTCTCTCCTCCTCCTTCCCAAGAAACTCCTCGGGTTTGGAACCCAAAGAAACTTCGTCCAAGTCCTCCCCGTTGTGCCGAGCGTACTCTTTCGCAAAGTGTTCTGGTTTAAGGGGCTGTGGGCCATCGGGAGATTTCCCTTTCTTAACAACATGCAGGAAAGCTGCCTTGCCCAGCTTTAGCCTCTGCCTTGCTGACAAGGCTTCCATCTTCTTTTTCTGAGCTTCTATGGCGCGGCGTTTCTCTTCCAGCTGCATGTGGAGCTGCACCAGCTCCGAAGCCAAAAGGTTGACGTTATCTTTGTTCTGCCTGCTGGGGCTCTGCTCTCGTTTCTGTTTCCACGTGGTCAGTGGTGCTGGGCAGCTCTCTGACCCATCTGGGGTGGTCTTCTGGGAGCTGCTCGTGCTCGACTTGGTCTCGTAGCTGTTGAGCCTCTGCAGTTTCCGCTCAGCGAAGCTGGTCATGCGGACGCTGCCGCTGGCCATGGACACGCTGCTCACCTGGGAGATGGTGCTCAGGCAGGGGCTGGAGCGCCCACTGGCATCATCCTTGTCCTCGTGCTCTTTCACCTTCATGTCCTCCTGCAGCTTTGCAGATTCCTCCTCCCCGATGTACTTGGTGACTATGGGATGGTCATCCATGACCGCCAAATCCTGCTCGGCGTCTTCCATGTCCAAGAGATCCGACTCCGAGTCCTGTCTCACCATGGTCCAGGTTGTGTCCTGAACGTGCAAATTGAGCCCTTTCACATAACTTACATTGACTTTGCTCGTTACCTCATCATCAGCTTTAGCAGCATGAAGAAAGAATCCTCCAGTGGATACCTCCTGAGAGGAAGGATCTAAACTGCTACTGGCCAAAGGTCTGGAAGCTTCTAAACCCGCTTCCCCCAGGGCCACTGGATCTGCAGAAGTGGGATCTGCAGCTGGAGTGTAATCAGAGCTAGAAATGGGAGTAAAAGTCCTGTTGAGGTCATGCTCGCCGTGACTGCTCGGCGCTTTCTTGCGGCCCAAAGGCAAGTGTCCTTCATTCAACCTCTTGGTTACAAAACTCCTCTGCTTCCCCTCCCCACACTCCTCCTCCTTGTTGATGATCTGTTTTTCCTTGGCTGGTTTCAGAACTGCAGGCATTAAGGGCTCCAGGTAAAAGCTCTCTGGTTTGCCGTCCGAGGTGTCGCTGTTTGTTTTTGGGGACCAGGCTGATGTCACTATGCTGGGCACCCTGGCTGGTGCATTCTGCACCTCCAGGTCACCCCGGCTTGGCCTTTCCTCAGACCTGATAATTGCAATGAGCTCTTCATCCTCATCCTCCATCTCCACGTTGTTCAGCAAGCTCTTCCCGTTGGCTTTCGCCGCTGGAGGGTGGGGCTGGTTTTTGGGGGTTACATTGACGATGTTTGAAGCCAGACTGTCCTTGCTGATGGATCTGGCCAGGCTGATGCTGTCACCAGACCCGGGGTCCACATCAGTGCTGGCAGAATGATGAAGAGCAAACGGTGTTGGCTGAGACAGAGGCCTAGAAAAGATAAGAACAGTCCACTGACACTCAAGCCCAACAAGTCACAATTTGTTGAATTAAAGACCACGATTCGGACAGCTACAATTTTTGCTTTATTTTAACAGTGCGTCCTGTGTGAAGCGACCAGCAACACCAAGCAGCAGCTTCAGGTGCCTCCATTTTCAAGAGCACTTCCTGAAAATCACGTCTGACGGATTTCCGACTGCAAATCTAAAATCAGTCAGCTCTGAAAATGCACATTAAAACAAACAAAAAAAACAAAACAAAATTAAGGGACTGTCAGTCCAGTTGTAAGGCAGTGATACCCCAGCACTACAACCAGATTACGTGCTTGAGCAATACTGGAATACCTGAAGGCCTCTCTCACCTGGGTTTCTTCTCTGGCCACGCAAGAACTGCCCCTCGTGGCTGCCCGTCCACACGGGTGAGAGAATTCGAACGATGCCGCTGCCCTGCAATGGTTTTGGGATTGGTAACAGTTTAAAAATGGTCTTTAAACAAGCACTTTCATATTTAATGGCAAACACAGTGACAGAATCGGCTCCTTCCCCAACAGATGGCAGCAGCAAACAGGTTTGCTGCAGCTGCAACCACAGACACAGTCAAAGCCTTAAAAAAATTAAAATCCCGTAAGTTTCTTAAAAAATCTTGACAACCTTTCAATGCAAACAAAGATGATTCACTCAACATTCTCACCACGTGGGTGACTGCAGTTTAATTTGACTTTAAATCACTCATAGAAATGAACTTGTATTTTTATTATTTTACTGATGTCGATGGTCACTGATAGTTGAAACACAAACTCAAGGTGGACTTACCAGGGCTGTCTTCTCCCTGTAAAGATTTTTGTTGCTTTTGCCTCAAAGGGAGCAGTGGATGGGAAGGGCTAAAGGCAGGGCTTCCTCCTTTGCCACTAAAGCCAGAAAAGCAAAAATTCATTACTACAAGATTTGTTTTTCTAGAATGAGAAAAAATATCTAGTTATGAAGTTATAACTGGTAATAGTTACCCTCATCCTCTTTAAAACATCATAAAATATTATGAATTTGAAAGAAGTTACTTAAAGAGAAGAAAAGGTTTTCGTGTGTAACTATACAAAGGTAAACCCATTACCTGACATTAAATAAGTTTCTAAACACATTACATTTAAGATGTTGCTTATGTAAATAGCAAATTAGAGACAAAGGCTGAAATAACTTCTTGGTTGCCACCAAATTTAGGTGAGCTGAAAAATCTTGTCCCTAACTTTCCTGCACATCAGATCATGTTTAAGTTTGTTTTCATGGAATCACAGACTGGTTTGGGTTGGAGGAGATCTTAAAGCTCATCCAGTTCCACCATGGCAGGGACACCTCCCATAGCCCAGGTTGCTCCAACCTGGCCTTGGACATTTCCAGGGATGGAGCAGCCACAGCTTCTCTGGGCAACCTCAGGGCCTCCCCACTCTCCCAGGGGACAATTTTTTCCCAATATCCACTCCAGTTTTAACATTTCCCATTTTTCCCAAAGCAGAAGAGCTTCTGCCATGCTCCTGCAGGGGCTTGTTGGTGTTGGCCAAACAAAGACCAAACACAACAGCACAAAATGTTCCTGTGAATTCCAGAACCGAGACCACTGCAAAGACCGACCCAACTCAAATCCACTCCGTTGGCAGCAAAGTGACAACTGGAGATAAAACAGCAAGAGGACACACTTACAGGTACTCAGGCTCCTCGGGGTGCAGGTAGTACCTGCTGCAGGCCTCAGGGGCTGTCTGGGCCGAGGGCTGCAGCTCTGCAGGGCTGGGACCGGCAGGACTGGCCATGAAACTGCGCTTGGTGGCGTTGGAAATGGGGACAGGGGGGCGGCTGCTCTTCTGCTGCATCACTGCTTTGACTGGGACACATTTACAACATTCATTTACATTATTGACAACTCACACTGGCCTTTAAAACGACAAAACATGACAGGGAGCTTTCAAATTGCAGCGTATTAGAAAGGAAACTTTACAACACAAATCAAAACCTTGAGCATTAAAAATGTGTATTTTCTGGTGACCTTAATGGGAAGAAAGTTTCAAATAAATAACTAATTAGTGGGTTTAGAGGAAAAATTTACCTGTTAGAGAATAAACTATTCAAAAAAATTAGAACTCAGGTGGATGTAAGATTAACTTCCTATTTTTACTGCTTTCAAAGAACCCCATGTTGAATAAACTTTGGGTAGAAAGAAAGATTCAAAGGAATCATCACCAGGCAACAGTTTCACTGCACTGTAAGTATTTTTAAAGTAACAGTTCATTGGTGGTTAAAAACTTACCATCTTTTATCTCCTGAATATCTCTGGGTTGCACAAAGTCTGGTTTGACATTCTCAAACCACCAGAAGAGTTCTGCAATGAACACCATGACGTTAGGCTGGAACAGAGGAGAAGGGAAATTACACCTCACAAGAACAAAAACCCTCCTGAGTTGCCCCTATTTCATTGACAGAGACGCCCTTTGTTGTGTTTCTTACCTTCAGAACCAAAGGAGCATACAGCATGTCCTCCAAGGTGAGGTAAAAGCATTTGTTCAGGTATTCATTTGAGAACTCTCTCAGAAGTTGGATGTTGTAGAGGCTGTCTGCTATTGATGTCACCTCCTTCAAACAGATATCTGGGAAGGGGAGAGGGAGGAGGAAGTCATGGCAGTGCTCCAAGGGGTTAACCTTCCACCCCCACCTCCCAGAGACATCACAAACAGGAGTTTCCCAGGGTGTACACCATCCCTGAGTATTTACTGGCTGCCAGGGATGTTTCTCTGCCTGTTCAATCCCAGAGGGACAAGAAAAGCACAGGTAAACCAGTATCAAGCCTGCGTTAATTTTTGGCTGCACAGAGGATTCTGTCTGTCACAGCAACAGAGAAGGTAAGGAGGCTACAGAGAACACACAGAACGACAAAGTACAGAAGCAATTAAAATCAGACATCTTGATTTGCATATAATAAAAGGTTGCTCCTAGGATTCACAGCGCTGGCTCCTGGAAACACTCAGGAGCTCTGCAAGGTACAACATACCTGGGAATTTACAAACCAACACAAAATGTTGATCTGAAGAAGTGAATGCAAGAAGGACATTGAACTATTTTTTTAAAACTCACATTTACTGGGAAACCCCACATTTTCATGTGAGAGTGACAATTGCTGAAGACTGGGAGAAACTATTTTAAAATCTAGATTTTAAAATGTACTCCTACTGAAAAACCTGAGAACTATCAGCTAACACTAGTGGACATGTGTTCCTTTTTTTTTTACCCTATTAAAAACAAGCTCAGTTATTGGAGCAAAGAAAGCCACCTCACCTAAACCTGTAAAAGAAAGGATTCTTTTGTAGCTCATTATATACAGGGCACGGTCTTCTAAGTACAATAAGTAAAAACACAAGATCAAACACACTGATGCAGATTCTATATGTGATTTGACTCTGACTTGCCATAATCCACTACCTGTCGTGTTGCATTTTTATTTGATAATGTATTTCCATTTAATTTTCCCCCCCCCCCCACTAGAAACCTTTATTACATACCATCCAGTTTCATCTGCTCTGGACAATAATAGTGTATCACAGCTAGAAGAGCAGCACCATCACTACCATCCTTCATCAGATCCTCCAGCAAAGGGAAATAAGGTAATTGCCTACTGGACGGATGGTCCCGTCGGTAACGCACCTGCCGAGAGAAAACAGGGGGTCACGTCACGCTGAAGATGCAAAAAGACAAGAGGAGAAAAAAGGGAAAAAAAAAAAAAAAAGCCCCAAAAGGCATTTTTGTTAAGCTTTGAAACCTCTTTTCAGTGGATCCTTTATAGCATCTGCTCCAGTCAAACCAGCTGACAAGGGTGTGTTTTTCTCTCCATGGAAGCCAATTCTGAGGAATGTGGTGCTGCCTTTTAAGCCTACAGTGGTTTGGGTTGGAAGGGACCTTAAGGTCATCCAGTCCTTCCACTAGACCAGGTTGCTCATCTACATTCAGTCTCCTCACGTCTGGGAGCAATCCATGCTGCTGGATTCCTCGTTTCACTCACACACTGTAATTCATGATAACCAATTGAAGTCAAAATCCTTCCCCACAGATGCATGAGTGCAGCAGATCCAAAGAAAGAGACATGGATAACTACATGAAAACACTTAAAGCTTGGGCAAACCAAACCAAAACACAGCAAAAAGTAATTCAGATGAGCTGGTGATACAATACCCACATCCACAGACAGCAAAGTTGTCTCAGAGAGAATCAGAACATGGCAAGGCAGACGAAAATAAAACCCATTTTCCAAAATGGTCAGAGAGAGGAGCAAGGAGGCCTTGACATGAACAGCAAAACCCTCCAGGATTTACCACAAATCAAAATCAAACTCTTTGGCAAACCAGCCCCAGCCCTGGGGGGATCTGGAGCTCAGCTGCAGAGCAGATCTTGGCGTTGCCTCTTGCAGTTCTTGCAAGAGAAGTCCCAGGGTTGCTAATCCCTGATCACCCACACTGCCCTGCACTGGGGGTTGTGTCTGGCTCAGCAGCAAAGCAACGGGACAGCAGAAGCACAACAACTGCAGGGCCTGGCAGGAGCCCCTGTCAGTGCTGCCAGAACAGCCCCTGGCACTGCAGGGCATCAAGAACACGGAGCAGTGAACCCCCCGTCTCGTCTGATGGGCAGATCCACCAATCACCTATTTACCCATCAGAGGAGAGCTGGATTTTTACCAATGGCATCCTACACTTTTCCAAGCCAACCTGGGAAAGCTCTCTAGACACACACACACACACTCCTAGGTGTCAACTTAGGATGGCACAGGCTGTGAAAAAATCTGTTCAGAGGAACGAAGATCGCTTGGATGGGTCAGAACCAGGTTCACTTCTTTCTTTGGCAGAAATATAAGCACGTTGTGTTAAGTTTCCCAAGGAACTCAAAGCTATCTCTGTGGTTTTTTTTTTCCTGTCCTTTTACCAGGTGCAAATGATCTTTTTTTTTTCCCCAGCCTGGAGCACTCCATAAATATGTAAATGGGATGGGAATCATACTGTACCACACGAGCATATTCCACTGGTTCCAGCATGCAGTGTGATATGGCATGCAGCAGATCAGGCTTACACAGAGAGAAACAGTGAGATACAGGACGGTGGTTATTCAGAAACAGCAAACAAAGCAAAAGGCATCAGCAACATCCATTATGCACTGGAAATGTGGGCCCTCAGTCTGAGAAAATAAGTGTGTGCTAAGGTGAACTGGTTAGGCTTCAAAGGGTCAGCATTTAGCCACTTGGAGTAAGCATATTAAAAATAAAAAAAAAAATACTTCAGAAGTTCTTTTGAAAGTTTAATTCTTCCTATGTTTAAAGTAGATAAAAATATTTCTTTTCTAATAGGCTTAAATAGAATTTAAACCAACTGCAGTCAATGCTGAGAAGTAAAATCTCTAAGAATTCCTTGTTTCTTGTAGCTTTGGTGAAAAAACCCCACAAATTTGTCAAAGAGGGTTTTTATGGACTTAGTGTAATTCCTTGGTTTTTGCTTAACTATTATTCTCTTAATCAGTCAGTCTTCTACACTGAAAACATTGAATTCTTCCTTATATTCTAAGATGAGTTTTGCTGGTTTGTTCCCCTCCTGCCCATGCACACAACTAACGACATCAGTAAAAAAAACCCCAAATCACAAAATAAAAATAAAATACAGAAGTGACAGAATCTGACAACTGCTTACTCTGCAAAATCTGCCAGTAAACCAGTATAATCTAAATTGTATCAGTGAGAAAACCTCTATTCACTCCTTCCTTGGGTTCAAGTTTTTGCTGCAGCCAACATATTTGGTTCAAACAGAGGATCAGGAGGCACCAGTGGGACTGAGCCCTGGGTGGGAAGGCAGAGAGGTCACGGGGACAGGGAGGTGCCCCATCACACCTGCCTGTTCCAAGGGCACTGCTCTCCACAATCAGCAACTGAGACAACAACTCCCACCTTGCCAGGGAGAAAATGAGCAACAGCAACTCCTGCAAGTGCAGGAGAAAGGGCAGCAAAGCTCAGGAAAGCAAAGGAACAAAAGAAAAGCTCTGCATGTTAAAATAAACCCAGAACACTCTGACAGAACAAAGCAGGATTCTATCCCACAAGTACAGTTTGGGTATTTTTTGATAGAGTGGAATTTTTTTAAAGATTGGAATTGATATTCCATTTTCACACTTCAGCCTTAAGAAAAACCAGTATTTTGCTCCAATATGCAAACTGTCTCCCCTCTCATTTGCCAGCTCAGACTCGTTAACTGGGCACACGATCCCAGTAACCATCACACGGGATCCAAACTGGTCTGTCCCATCTCCCCACCCCATCCCAAGGAATAACAGTCCTGACAGACTCCCAGATCTGCCCCAGAGCAGGTGCGAGAGCAGTGTAAGAGCATTATTTAAGCACAACAATCTGAGTGTCTTAACTATGGATTCCAAGATTAGGCAGCCGTTTAAGCCGACCAGCTCTGCCCTCACCTCCGTGCTGGGATCAGTCCCCTCCTCCCAACCAAAATACAGCCCTTTCAGCTGTTCAATCTGCAGGGTTTTTTTCTGCTGCTGCTCCACCTCCCTCCCTCCTGCAGTGTGGAAGCAACTTTGAGATGCTGGGATTGTGCTGTGCAGGATGCAAGAAGCGTGTCATGGAAGCAAAGCCCGATGACCCAAAAGCTTACAATAAAATAAATAAAAATAAAAATAATAATAATTAAAAAAGGTGTTTTTCAAAGAGCAGCTAAGAAGCATTTTAATGGAAGCAAACACTCGGAGGAAGTTCAAAAAGCCATGGTTTTGTGGATGACAACTGGTGTAAAAGGAGTTCACTTACAGGTACTAATTTCCAATACCATTTGGAAGGAGACTGCTCAGGAAGCAAGGAAAGGAAGGTGGGAATAGGAAAGGAACATCAGCAATGCAAGTTAAAAGCAGTAATATTTAAATGCACTTCAGCAATAAGCACTTTCATATTTTAGAGGGGTTGTAGCCTAGAAATGTAAAGATATTAAAATGAGCCCCAAGAGTCAACAGAGTCAAATAATTAAAGGGATCCTTCAGACTATGCATAAGCTTGTAAATTAAACAGCTCTTTATTTTTGAAGGCTCTTATTTTCCATAAAAGGCACTCACATGAAAATTAAACAATTGTGCCTCATTCAAATGTCACACTTTGATCCCCTTTGTCCAGCAATGTAAATTTGAGGAAAGAGCATATTATTTGTAATTTATGAAATCATAAACTGGGAGCTCAGAGAGCTGACAGACATTAAGTTTGACATTCTCCAGAAATGAAAGTGTGCTATATTTTGCAATACGAGTGCATTGTGATATAATTTCAAGGGGAAAAAGCTGGAAAAAACTACAAACACACGCATATAACACTTGAATGCCAAGAGTATCCTTACTGGACAGAACCTGAATAAGTCTCTGAATATACACTAGACAAATAACCCATGCAAAAAAAAAAAAATATGCCCCCAAAGCTTTCAAAATATATAAGATATATTTTGTGCCGTGAAAGCTGAGTCACATTTACCCATGTACAGGTGATGCAAGTTATTTTAAGGTGAAACAAGTTGTTTTCATCCAACTGAAACTTAAAGGAAAGTTTAGGAAGATACCAGTGGGCTCCAAAGGTAAGGAAGGGCACTGATGACAAACAAACCAAACTGGATGCACAAAACCTCAGGAGTTTTGAGGGCTGGAGCCCTCACATTTCTCTGACAAAGAAAATACTGATATTTAAATCCATTCCTCATCAACACACAATATCATGACTGAAGACAAATTTGTGTTACCTTTTGATGCCCTGGACTTTCCATGAGTTGCTGTTTTAATTTAATCTCCTTCTCTGTTATCTCTCTCATTTTAAGGTTCACCTGAAAGGACATTGCATAGAAAGTAAATTAAAATACATCTGAAAATCTTTCCACAAGTCAAGAGTTCTTCCTCCCATGGAATGGTCAATCCATTCTACAAACATTAAAGTTCACAGAATAACATGTTGCAACAATTTTCTAGAGCAACTCTCTATTAACAGTAGCTGTAATCACAACTAGGGAATCCTGGGATTGCAAGGAGACATTCTCCTTGGAATGTGACTCTGGTGTCACTCAGAAGGGTTACAGTAACTTGACTGCTGCCCTTGGAAAAGTTTCAGGATCTCTGGTGAATGTGTTCAAGCTGGTCAGAATTAACTCCACCCTGTTATTTAACATGAAACGATGCTTCACCTAAAAAATTCCCACCTCACAGCAGCCTGTCTGAAAATAAAGAACCCAATTTCTACAGTTCCTAATTACCTTCCTTATTTTAAAATTTACCAGCTTCACTCATCCCTAAGTAAAAGGAATCACAGAGTGGAAAGAGGTGATAGAAATGCACCGGTGAGAAAGATGGAAGGAAGACACTCATCAGAATAATTTTAAATATCTGAAAAGTGACAATAAGACAGGCATGCTTCCCCCAAAGTAAATATTACCTTGTTAATCCAGAAAACCATTGCATCCTCCAAGTCATAGGGCAGTTCTTTAGAGGCACTGAACGTCGAGAAGCGCTTGACACTCGCCACCACCTTCTCAATGCTGATCATTTCCACGGTGTAGGCCATCATGAGAGCATCAATCATTGCCATATGAGAACTCTGAAAGGGGAAAACGAGGAGGATTGGAAAATAAAACCCTTCTTAAAGACTGGTGGGTAACACACAGGTACCCCTGGAATGGCAGGCGGTGCAGGGAGTTCGGGAGAATTTATTCCAAAGTGGAGAACACTGGATTTACAAGGAAAAACTTCTAACAGTGCTGCAAAAAGCACTGGGCCTGAGCAAGACATGCCTATTGTTCTCTTCCAGGCCTTTATCTTTGTTACATCTGAGGGTTTATCTCTCCTCATACCAGAGACTGCAAGATTCCTCTGGAATCCAGAAGGAAAAAAAAAAAAACCATCCACCTGTCCTTGAGAAAGTGACTTCTCCTTAGGCTTCCTAAGCAAAACAAGCCCTAATCTCCTCGTTACAGATCTTCCAGCAGGGTGTTCTAACTGTATTTAAAATCAAAACACTCCTGAACTTAGCGACCTAGAAACGACGAGCTCTCCCCTCCTCTTCCCACTTTAACTAGTGTTTAAATAAAAGGCAGCTCGTTAGCGGATTTAATTAAGCTCACCATCTTGATTGGTGCCGAGCCCAGATCGGACTCAGACACAGGTGTGTCATCGCTCTCCATGACGTAAATCCCCTTCCGAGACAGGGCCTGGATGACGGACTGGTGGCCCTGCAGAGCTGCCACCTGGTCACCCTTGAGGATGAGGCTGCAGACGCGGCAGTACAGCTCGCTGGACAGCAGCAGCTTGATCACCGGGGGCTTGATGTGCTCCTGCTCGTACTGGTCGATGTAAAACGGGTCCTTCAGCTCCTCGGGGACGTTGTCTGAAACAGCAGAGAAAAAAGTCTGGTTATTGTGTGTTAGTGGGAGTTGATTTTTTGGGGGATTATAACTGTTTAGGGCACGGGGCGGCTGGAGAGAAAGGGACCTGGGGGTGCTGAGCGACAGCAGCTGAACACGAGCCACGTACCAAGAAGGACAATGGATCCTGGCTTGGATCAGGAATTGTGTGGCAGCAGGAGCAGGGCAGTGATCCTGCCCCCTGTGCTGGGCACTGGTGAGGCCACACCTCGATTGCTGTGCCCAGCTCTGGGCCATCAGTTCATGGAGGGGCTGGAGAGTGTCCAGAGAAGGGCAATGAGGCTGCGACAGCACAACTGCAAAGCTCAGTCACCGCCAAACTGAACGAGAAAACTAAACCACCAACTGGTTCTGAACTGCCAAAATCCACCAAAAGACCAAAATATCGGACTAAAACCTCGAGCCCTTCACAAACAGTTTGCCAACCAGCCCAGTCTCCAGTGAGCTGATGGGCTCACTGATCCCACTCCACTGGGACTAAACAGGAGCTTTAAAAATTCACTTCTTTTGGCTTGGCACGATTTTCACAGGTTGTATCGGGATTTTATTAAACTGAACACAGATCCTGAGTAATTTGAATGCAATTAACAACACAGAAGACCTGACCCTTTCACACCCCCAACCATAAAGACCCTTTTGCTGCTGCCCAGGAGAGAAAGGCACTGACAACAACTAATATTCCAGTCACTCTAAACATGTCTCAGAGGTTTCAAATCCATCCCAAAATAAATACTTTTACTCATATCCAGTAACCAGCTCAGGAGCTGTTGATCTTTATCATGGCTTAGCAGGAATAATGAGAGTCTGCAACCCCAAGAAAAATATTTTCCAGCCTCAAGTGTATTGTCTTAATAGGAACCTGACATTTCCTAATTTTCAGACATAAAATTCTATCTAATTCTATCCAGCCACTCTGAATATCTTTCCCCAAAGTCACTCCAGTGGTTCATTTTAAATACCTACATCTACGGTTAAAATAATTATTAATTTACTTTTCATTCAGCTTGTTACCAGAATAATTCAGTTTTCCCATTCCAAAGAATTCCTACCCACAGCACATCTTTAAACTGCAATTAAAAAAAAAAAAAAAAAAAGCCACACAATATTTGTACACTGCTCAAACTTCCATTTCTAAAGACCCAAAAACCTAACTGCAAAGCAGCTCCCACAATTCAGCACCTCGAGTTCATTACAAGCAGCTACACCTTCAACAACCAAAGCCACTTTGCTTTGTGCCAGAATTATTCGTGAAAGGCAATAATACAAGTTCATAAAATATCCATGAAGGTTGGACATCTCTGGCAGAGCGTTAGCACCACTCCGAGTTTGAAAGGCTTTTTTTTTTTTTTTGAAACCACCCAAAAAACCCAAAACAAAAACAAAAACCACAAAAAAAGAAAAAAAAACACCAAAAACCCCACAAACAAACAAACAAACAAACAAACAAAACAAAACAAACCCCACCAAATTCCAAATGTCTGAGAGGTGAAGCACTCAGGTTGATGGTCAGTGTGACAGGGGCAGTCAGCTCTCCCACAGCAATTTTCGATTAAACCAGCTCTGTTTCAATGATTTTTAAAAGCCTTTTCTAGCACTAAATAGATCTGGTTCCCAGTGAGGAGATTCCATGTCACAGAAATCAATATATTTAAAAAAAAACCCAACCACAAAACCCCCAAACAATGCAAAACAAACAAACAAACAAAAAAACAAACACCCTTGTATTTTATCTGCTGTTGATCACTCTGCCCAGCCAAGAAATCCGAAATCTTTGTCTTCTATACTGAAGAAACCTCCACGTTCCTGATCTGCAGATGAGTGCTTAAGGCCTGGATGGATTTGGATTGACCAGGATTAAAGACAACTCAGGGTGGGAATAACTCCCAGCACCAGGATTAATAATCTGAATACTCTCAGAGGAAGTCACTCATCAACATTAAGCCTCCCATAATAGCAACTTATTTCACAGTAAACACTTGCCCAGTTTTATTTTCTACACCATCTTCAGCCAGCTGAATTTATCTGTGACCCACAGACAAATAACTTCTGTAACTCATTTAATGTCCTGACAAGGCAGACCCAGGGAAATTTTAATATATAAAAACCATCTCAAAGCTCAAGCTTCTGGTTTTTCCCAGTGTGCTTTCTGGGTTGTTTCCCCAGGTAAATGTTTGCATCAGCATCAAGGCAGGTTTTAGAGTTGCCAGTTTTTAGGCAAACTGAGAGTTCTAAAGATGAAACTTGAAAACTATCAGTGTTTTTATAGTCATTTAAAACCAGCACATAACCTGCAATCAGCTCTGGGAAGGTGAAAATCATTAATTCAGTATTTTATCAAGAACTGTTGGAGAATTTACCACTTTACTTGATATCAGAGTTGATATCTTTCACACATGGGATTAATGTAAATTGTACACCCTATTCATGAGTTGCATGCAGTCAGCTCATTACAGAGCAAAAAATGCTCATTTTTGCTGCTTCCCACACTTACAAACCAAAGTAATATCATATTTTTTCCAAGATCCAGCAGCATAAACTCCTGAGTGTTCTTGCCCTGCTGAGCCTGCTGGGGAGGCACCTCCACCAGCTCTTTGTGTAAGAGAGGAGGGACCCAAAAATAAACCCCCCTGATTCCTCATGATGCAATTCCTTCACTCTGTGCCATCATAGCAGTGAGTCCTAATCTCCCAAAAACCGTCAGTTCCCAGTGTAAATCACCAAGTGCAACATCATTTAGAGGATTAGAAAAATCACTTCACTTGCAACGACCAGCAGAGAGACAATTATTGCTCCTTGCTTCAAGGAGGGGGGGAAACCTCTCCTTTATCATCTCACTTACAAAAAGCTGCTCAAAGACAACCACCTGATAAGGACACATCCAGCAATCCGAAGCGATGTGAGTTATCCCTGGAACTGCTGCAGTGGATACACCCCAGATGTTCTGTTACCTGCAGAAGCACGAAGAACTGGTTTGCCATGGAAAGAGAGCCAAAGTGGGCTGGTGAACAGCAGAGAGCTCATTCAAATTCTGGGTAGGATTTCACTGGGATGGGTATCTGTTCCCAGAGTTATTCACCGCTGCATGGGTGAACTCCAAGCTGCAGAGCATGAGCGCAAACTACACGTTCTCAGCACTGAGAGCAGCTGAATTAAACCCACTCTTTTTGGTGGTTCTGGTTCCAGCACCGGACTTATAAAGCCTGGAAGTGATCTGGAATAGGGCACAGCAACATTTCCATACAACAGGCAGGGAAAAGCCAAGCTGAAGGCTTTAGGAAGAGCTGGGAGAGTGACCGCACTCATTATCATATCTTTTGATCCAGCACAAAGCCACAAACCTGCAGGAAGCAGGAGAGACAAAATGATAATTACCCCTGTAAACTCCACACAATAACGCTCAGTGTTTATGAAACAGCTGCTATTAAAGAAACAAATGTTTAGCTATTGAAGATTTGCTAAACATAAGAGCTTCCTTACATGCATTTCTGCTACCAACCTGAGCAGAAAGCTGACAAAGAAGAGCAGGGAATCCAGGGATTTATGCTCTTCAGCCCAGGAAAACAGGCTCACACTGCTCCTGCCAACCAGCAGCTATTACAGCACTGCAAAACCTTATTTAACAAGTAAGTTTAAAGCACTTCAAAGACCAAAAAAAGCCCAACTTGCATTTCCCCTCCACTGCATTACATTAGCTCTTGGCTTTCCTGGCTGCATTTGCCAAAGGTCTCAGGCTACTGTCAGCATTAAGTCTGGAAACTAAAGCTCCCAGGCCTGATGAATAAGTAAAACCCACTGAGATCCTTTTGAAAAATCCGAATTTTACACCCTGTTTTACAGAGGCAACAACATTTGTCATGGAAAGGGCTGGGAACAACCCCCTGCTCCCAGCAAGCTGCAACACTGAGACACTTCCATATGCTCCTTCAATATCTGAATTTTAACATGATGGTGGAAAACATCATTTCTACACATAAATTAACGCTGCACCAACTAAAGCCGCCGAGAAATCAGAATTTTCCCTTGTCGTTGTCTGTTTTCTCAAGTGGTACCAAATGAAAACACGAAATCAAACCCCATTTTCTCAGGCCACTGTCTCAGCTAAAGGGACTTGGAATCTTCCAAGGGCAGGTTTCCAGATGTTTGTGCACTGAGGGATCCATGTCAGTACACCCAGATTTATCTGGGGAGATGGATGATGCTGAATGGGGCAACACCTTCCTTCACAACATCCTTTCCCTCTGTTTTTCTGGAATTCTGACAAACAGTTGTAGGACCTCCCTCTGGGGGCCATCTGTGCCAACCAGGCATCCACCAGAGCCAGGAGCTGCAGATTCCAGGAGCAAACCATTCATCCTGGGCAAGAAGAGGGGTTTGTCTCACAGAATTTCTGCAGTTCCAGTTGTTTGGCTACCAAAATTCTCTTTGCATGGCCAGGAGGAGAAAAAAAGAGGAGTGAACCATCAAATGAAACAAAGCCCCAACTAGGAGCTCAAATCTAAATTATTTGTCATGTATGCTCCCAGCGATTTGTCCTTGAGGGAAGAAAAACCCCAACAAAACAAAGGATGAAGAATTTTCCTTCTTAAATGCCAATTTAGAGGTGGGGAATTCAAATATCCTGTACCAGTAAAGAGAAAATACAGTTGCAAGCAAAACCTGCAGCGGTGAATGACTTTCAGTGACAATCACATTGCTGTTCTTGACCCTCAGCCTTACTCAGATCAAAATGAAATCCAAAATATTCATCAGGATTTGAAAGATCGAGGCACGAAATTTTGTCAATTCACATGCAGCAAATCCCAACCCAACATTTCAGGAAAACACCCTTAATCAGCCACATGAAGGCAGTTATGGAAACCTTATCAGGTAAGATTTACTTCAGAACACGTTTTAATATTTTGAACAGAGAAACATTTTTGTTACCAAATTAACCAGAAATTAGTCCAAAATAATAAAAAAAGCCCCCAAAATCTTCCATCTGCACAGTGAGATTTTAAATAAGAAAATCACTCATTGAACATCATCCATCATCTTAAAACAGAGACGTAACCCTGAGAGATGACAAGTAACGCATCGAGTATCAAAAATTATTCCAAATTCTAATCACATAGGAAACCTTCTTAAACCCATCCCTCTATGAATTAAAGAGGCTTATAAATTTCGAGGGATTGTGCAATGCTATTCCAGCAGAAATGGCTAAACATGTGACAACGACTCGCAGGAGCCATTTCAAAAAAAAATCAAACTACATTTCCAGGGGCCACAGTCCTGCAAAAAGATGCACACGGACACCAATCCTGACTCGCTGCAGCAGCACCAACAGCACAACACAGAAAAAAAATTATCTTTTCCTATTGTTTGTGGCCTTCAACTGCTGTTAAATGCAACCTGCACAAGCTTAAATGCAAGCAGAAAAGCTGGCAGAGGCTGCTCCAGCCAGAGATCCCGTCCCTGTCACGGGGAAAAGCTGTTTCACTTTAATCCTTGGTCCAAGGGAAGCCAAATACTTTTACAACCAAAGTCTGCGTTGCCAAGTGCACAAACAGACTTGCCATTAAGCAATTAACTGGTCCAAGAGGTCCAGACACAACCACGAGTTGTGGAGCCCCAGCTGACACCACCCAGAGGCCACCGAGCTCCCTCTGCAGCGCAGGAGCAGCGCCAGTCCCTTCCCTTCCCTTCCCTTCGGGATCGGCTTCTCTGGGAAACAAAGTCACAGCAACACACACACGGTTGCATCTCCAGGCCTGGAATATCCATTTTTATCGCTGATGGCTACAAAAGTTTCAGGCAACGTTACAAACAATTCCGGCAAGCGAGAAATATTTACATCGGGAAATGCCTGTTCCGTTCTTCCAAGTTATCAGTGTTTTATTGATGCCCTCCCCAAATTCCCACGTTTTGGTTTTTTTTTTTTTGAGGGGGTGTTTTTTTTTGTCTCTTGTTGCCTGTAACAAAACACCTTCCCTGACATGAAATGCTATAAACCCATGATTTTATTTGCCCCCCCCAACCACGAGATGAGGAGGTCGCTGACAGAGTTGGAAATATTCGAAAAGGAAAATAATTTAACACAAATATTCCAGCGAGGATTAATATTTAACGGCAGGAATGGACCTCTTTTCTTCAACCTTGTCACCAAGTAAGCCAGTGCTAATCCATTAAGCATATTATGAGTTTGGAGAATTAGACTTAGATTAACAGGGCCACCTCATTTTCCAAAACAAGACTCTGTACATGGTTTTATTATATGTTTTGTTCTGGATTAAAAAAAAAAAAATAAAATCCAACCACCAGTGTGCCATCCTATTTGTTCATAATGAAGCTACTTAAACTCAAGATGGATCTAGCACATGGAGACAGATCTAGTTCAAAAGAAAAAAGCAAATTTCAACAGCTGCCAGGAAAACACTCACAAAGATACTCCAGGCATATTTATTTTTCCACGTCGGGCTGCACAGACTTTTGACAATGTGAGGGAAGGGAGGAATTCCTCTGTCACCTACAACCTGCTCCTTAATGTCACAGAACACAAACCTCCACCTGCTCATTCATTTCTTTTTCACAAAAGGAAAAGGCTGCTGAACACAAATGGATTGTATTCCAACCCATCTTGGAACCAAACCCACAGCCTGACAGGATGAAAAGTCCTAACTGAGCACACAAAGGCTGTCAAGGTCCCAGCATCCACTAGACAAGGAAACACCTAAAGCCTTCCCAGCCTGGAGGGACTCAGGGCCTGCAAGCAGAGACATAAAGCTCTGAGGAACAAAGTCTGCTTAGCTAAAGCAAGGATTTAAACATTTTGAGGCAGGCAAAGCACCTCCCAAGCACCATCTGGGAGCGTTCACCATTAGCTTTGCTGATTCAGGGCATCTCCTACAGACCCGTTATTCCTGCTGGAGGTACCAGGAAACACATAATATTAACGAGAGAACAGGCTGCCATATTATTGATATTTAAAACAAAGCCAAATTTAATTACTCCTGGAACGGCAGGGGAGACAAAAAAAAGCAAGAACAAAATCAAGAACGAGCTCCTGGCAGAGTTGATCTTACCTATTCCGTAGGCTTTAGCACAGATCCATTGTAGATTAGCAGCTATTTTTGCTCGGGCTGAATCATAGAGCTCCAAGGGGACAATCTCAACTGCACTATCCGTCAGAGCATCCATTTTTCTTCTGGTGCTATCTCCACCCGCACAAACATCAACATCCACCATCTAAAACAAAAACAAAAGGCAGCGACTTTTACACGAGCCGATTTACACGAGTCGATTCCGAGGCCACGCAGGAGAGGGGTCGCACACAACAGGCCCGGCATCCTTCGGGATTCCCACTGGGAGGGCTGATGGGGCGATTCAAAACCCACTCGGAAATCAAAGGGCATCGGAGCCCGGGGCGAGCATCCCTTTTTTGTGTGTGTGTGAAGGGCAGGGCCCGGCTCGGCGGAGAAAGGCGCAGCCCCGTCACTTGCCGAAGGGATAAAGGATGGGGCTCTCCCGAACAATGCGCGCAGGTACCACCGCCCCCTCCCCGCCCTCGGGGCAGCACCTGCGGCTCCTTCCCCCGCCGAGCCCCGGAGAAGCAGCAGAGGCTCCGCGCCCGCACGCCCATGGCCGGGCCGAGCGGCGCCCCCTCCCCGCATCCCCTCCCCGCATCCCCGGCCCCGCCCGGGCGGAGGGGGGGGAAGGAGGAGGCGGCGGCGGGGGCGGGGGAGGCGGGGAGGGGGCGCAGCCCACCCGGCGCCGGCTCCGCGCAGGGCCCCGCCGAGCCCCCCCCGCCCGCCCCGCGCGGCCTGCAGGCCCCGCCGCCTCACCTTTGCCGCGCTACCGCTGCCTCATGCCCGGGGAGGGACGGGGGCACCGCGGCGCCCTGGGTGGGGCAGGGGCGGGGAAGGGGGGGGGGGGATGACGGCCCGGCGGGCCCGGCGCCGGTGCCGGTGGCGGGGAAGGGAAGGGCAGGGAAGGGAAGGGCCGGGACGGAGCGGCCGCCGAGGGGCCGCGGCTGCCACAGCGCGCTCGGGGCCGCGCGCGCCCGCGCGCGCGCATGCGCCCGCCTCCCGCCCCGCGCGCGCGCCCTCTCTCCCTCTCTCCCTCTCTCCCGCCGCTCCCGGCGCCGGGAGCGCGCGCCCGCGCGCGCTCGGCGGGAAAAAAGGGAGAGGGAGGCGGGAGAGAGAGGGAAGGAGGGAGGGAAGGGAAGGGAAGGCGCGGAAGCGGGGGGGGGGGGGGGGGGGGGGGGGGGGGGGGGGGGGGGGGGGGGGGGGGGGGGGGAAGGAAGCGGCTGCGCGCGCGCGAGCGGGGCACGGCCGCCCTCCCGCAGCCCGCGCGCGCCGGGCAACCGTTGCCATGGCGACCGCGCCGGTCCCGCGCGCGCGCGCGGGGAGGGCGGCCCCGCCCTCACGGACCCGCCGTGATCACGGACCCACGGACCCCCACGGACCCACAGCCCATCATGGACCCACGGACCCTCACGGACCCACAGCCCATCACAGACCCACAGCCCGTCATTGCCCCACAGCCCCTCACGAACTCACAGCCCATCACGGACCCACAGCCCGTCATGGACCCACAGACCCTCACTGACCCACAGCCCATCACAGACCCACAGACCCTCACTGACCCACAGCCCATCACAGACCCACAGCCCATCATGGACCCACAGCCCATCATTGCCCCACAACCCCTCAAAGACCCACAGCCCATCATGGACCCACAGCCCCTCACAGACTCACAGCCCATCACGGACCCACAGCCCATCATTGCCCCATAGCCCCTCACAGACCCACAGCCCCTCACTGACCCGCAGCCCATTTTGGATCAAAAAGTATCAGCAACACTTTTCTTCACGTTGTTATACAAATAATCTCCCTCAAGGCTTGCTGAGTTGCTCCCTGCTCACCCCCAAAGGACATCAAAGACAGTTTTCAGCCTGGCTTACACGTCTTATGTGTTTCTTAGCAAAAAGGGAATGTATTTCCCTGCTTTATGTCATGATCTACAAAGAGAGCAGGAAATATGTGACAGGTACAACATGTGATCGTTTTTTGCTGGGTTGGAAGGGACCCACCAGGATCATCCAGTCCAGCTCCTGGCCCTGCACAGACACCCCAAACAATCTCCCCTGTCCCTCAGAGGATCATCCAAACCCTCCTGGAGCTCTGGCAGCCTTGGGGCTGTGCCCACTGCCCTGGGGAGCCTGTTCAGTGCCAACCACCCTCTGGAGGAAGAACCTTTCCCTGAGATCCAACCTGAGCCTCCCCTGACACAGCTCCAACCCTTCCCTCAAGTCCTGTTACTGGTCACAGAGAGAAGAGATGGGTGCTGCCTCTCCATGTCCCCTGGTAAGGAAGTTTTAAGACAGTGATCTCCCTTTCTGCAGGTTGAACAGACCCAATGACCTCAGCCACTCATCACAGATCTTCCCCTCCAGCCCCTCCACCATCCTCATGTCCCTCCTTTGGACACATTTAACAGCTTTAGATCTTTCCTATATCGTGGTGCCCTAAACTGCACATAGTTTTGGGCGCCACTGCGCACCAGGCTCGTGACCAAAACCAGATCCTGCAGATTAACTCACTTGACAAGTGAGTTTCAGGGCTCATCGGAGAAGTGAAGCTGCGTGATTGAACAGGGCTCCGAGCCTTTAATGCCTGTGCCCCAGAGACGAATTATCTTCATATCCATCTACTGAAACCGCGATTGCAAGTTTAGCTGCGCAACGGCAATAACAGACCGACCTTATTCTACATCATTTTGTTCTGATTCTCGTAATTATTTTTTTTTCCTGCGTGTAACTGGTAGATTATATAAATATTTCAAAATCATTAAAGATTCATTTGGGTCTGCCTTAAGATTCCACGTTCATTTCCCTGTGTCTTCTGAAAGTGCAAGGGGAGGGCACTCTGTGTCACCGGGAAACACGACCCGGCGTTCAAAGGTTATTCCAGCCTCTCTCACTCCTCCATATTATGGGATTGTGTGCAATTAAAGTGTCTTTGCAAACAAGTTGCTGGTTGTTTTATAATCTCCGTTCGAAGGGTTTGGTTTTCAGCAGGGTTGTTGGAGGCTGTCATTTCGAGGCGTTATCATCGGAACAAGCTGCTCTTGTTTTTAGATTAAGAGTTGAGGCCCAATCCAAATCCCCTCATATCTGAGAGGAGAATGTTTTCATTTTCGTGGTGGATTGGGCGTTAGATCCACGGCAGGAACGGAACGGAACTCGTAGAGCAGGTGACCTGTATCGAGGGTGAAGGTGCAACCGTGAGAAAACTGACCTACTTCTTCCTCTGACATATTTTTTCCTGGAGATAAATAATGGATTCAGTTGTTACACTTATCAGGAACAGAATACGTTCTAAGGAGGTGGCAGACTATCCCCGTGAAAGCAAGTCAGTGATCCCCGGATTCCTGAAAACCTCAGAAAAAGATCAGAAAAAAAATGGAAAAGTTTGGCTCAAGGAAATGAACAGCGTGAAGAAAAAACACACAGGGGAGTCTGGTGGTAAGAACACTCTCTTTTCCCAGGCTGCACGGAGGATCCTGACCTTGGAATTACCTCTTGCTCTCCCCCTTCCTCTCCTTTCTGCACCTCTTCCAGTCTGGTGTGGAATGTGCTGCCACTTCTTCCTCTGCAGTGACTCCCTGAAACTCTTGCTCGTGGGGGCATCTGCGCGTCCTTAAGTGGAAGCTGAAATTGATGTTTTGGGAAACTTTGCAGCTGATGATGAGGTGGTTTGTCAAGAACTCGGCATCATCCCACACCAGCGTCCTCAAACTTGTCCTGGAGATAAAAAGCCTGCACTTAAAGTGGGAGGGTCACCAGTGGATTGCTGAGCGTGTTTGCTTTTTCCCTGAGAAAACAAATGACTCTTCGGTGTTCAGAAGCAGCAAATTCATCTGTAATTTGTGTACCACTTGTTTCTCCACTACTAAACACGCTCCAAGGATTTTCTTCTGGAAAATGTTAATGCATTGCTTTGCTATATCAAATCATTTCCCTGTTAGAATCCTGGATTCCTTACACATTCGGAGTGGGAGTGCACGTGAACTGACACACTCTGCACAACTTGTCTTCCAGCACAGCTCTGAGATTAATTACTGGGAGGCAATTCCTTTGAGAAATCACCATATTCAAACACGACACCTATCCCAGGGAGCAAAGCTGAACCCGTGTGCTTGTTTTCTCCCATTGTGGATGAATTCCTGGGATTTCAGTTTCTTCCACCGTGTTTCATTTCTGAATATTGGGAGACTTCATGCAGAGTAATAATATCAGTTGCTTGGCATCCCAAGGCCATCAGATCCAAATTAATACTGTGAAAAAAAAGAAAATGTATCTTCTGTAAAAATAGAAACGTGCTGTGCCCTGGGATTGTAGAGGGTGGAGATGGTTCCTGGGTACTCAGAGGAAGAAAGAGCTTCCATTCCTAGAATTGTTTGGGTTGGAAGGGACAATAAAGTTCATCCAGTTCCACCCCCTGCCGTGGGCAGGGACACCTTCCACCAGCCCAGGTTGCTCCAAACCCCATCCAGCCTGGCCTTGGACACTTCCAGGGATGTGGCAGCCACAGCTTCTCCTCAGCAATCCATAAGGTGGTATCTGGAAAAAGGTTCTTGGCCTTCAGTCTTGCCCAACAGCTCCTGCCTGTGCTCTCCAGGCAGTGAGAGAAAGCAGTCAGTGAATGGATATTTGTTTCCTGTGATCCTCGTGGAATTTCCACCAGGGCCATGAGCGCTGGGGACGGTCCCTGCAGAGCAGCGAGCGGCTCGTGCCCACCCAGAGCCCTGGCTGGCTGCAGCTCCCTCCTCAGGGCTCTATTTTCAGCCCTGCACTAGTTTTGAACCCTGCTGGAGCTGCTTGCCCGTGGTTAATTCTGCAGGGCCTCGTTTGCCCCCGTGCTGAGCACTTAATACCCCCAGCCGGGATCGACTTAGAGCGCGGGCACGTCCAGAGGTCACAGCGTGGGGCAATGCTGGCACCGAGGAGAGAGTGGGATATGATTCTTAGGGATGGAACCATCACTTCAGTGCCATTCCCAGCACCACAGGAGCAGTTCCCGAGGCACAACAACGCTGTCAGTCATTCCTCATCTCCAGCTCCGCAGCTCCCGAGGAACACCCTGATCTGTGGCCCTGTGCACCCACAAACCGCGGCCAACCAGCAGCATTTTCCATGTCAATAAAGAAAACAGACGAAGGGCAGGTTGCAGGACTCTTGTTTCATTCATGGGCTCTTGTTTCATTCGTGCCCTCGCACTGTTTCGAAGGCAACACAGCCGTCAGGCTGATGAGTGCAACAAGTTATTCAGATTCATTTCTTTTTCACTGGCTTGGAGTGGTAGATGTGTATCAAACCCACGGAATGGGACGGGCAGGAAGCACTGGCAGCTCTTACAGAGAGGGGCTTCCCCCAGCTAGGGGTGAGCCCCGCTGCATTTAAAGGAACACTCGTGTTCAGCACTTATCTTCAAAGTGCTGTGCAAACATTAATTAATGACTCTGTTATCGCCAGGGGGAAGAGCTGGCAGAGGGAGGGGTGACAGCTCTCCCTGCTTCCCTGGGAGCCAGACCTCCCTTCCCTGGCTGGGAAGAGCGGGATGCTCCGGAGATCTCCAACAACTGCAGCTCTGGAGGAGCTGGCGGTGGGTTTTAAGTGCCTGCATTAATAATAGGAGGGGGGTTTAGCCTGTAAGATATTTTTATCTGTAAGATTATTTATTTTTAAAGTCCCTGGACTATGTTTAGGAGGATAACGGGTCGATAGCATTTACAGCCCAGCAGGTTTTCCCGGAAGACTCATCCCACCATGCCTTGTCCTTCCTCAGGCAACCCCAACCAGGGAGACCCCAGGGACGAGCTGGGTGAGTGCTGAGAGGGTTTTGAGTGTTGTCATGATCTAATTAATGAGCAGATGAGATGTTCCTATCCATCCATATATCTTTATATTCATTAAACCCTCTTCAGCAGTCACATTTGGGTGATGCTCAGACAGAAATCAATTTCTATTGGGACTGTTGGTTTGCTTTTCCCAGATGATTTCTTTTTAAAATGCATTTTTCTCCTAAGGGCACTTTGAGTAGAACTATATTTACCACAACTCTATAACTATCCAAAGAGAGAATGAGTTATCTCCAACTATTTCACCACTTAAACATCGCAGGAAAGCAACCAATAACTACAAGGCAGAAGAAATGAATGAGAACAAAAATCTAACGGAATTCCAAGATACAACTTGGATGGCTGAGCAAGGTGCAAGAGCCCAGAGCAAAATGGAACCTACTCAGCATCATCATCCCGAGAAATGCCATTGGGATTGCAGAGCAGCCCAAACCCCTGGCACAGGGATGACCTGGCACAGAGCCCTCCTCTCCTCACGAGCCAGCACGCGGTTATCCCCGAAAACAACATCCTGAACCTCTGCTAAGAGTTACCTTCAGGAATTCACGGGCAGCCCTTTCCAAAAAGGGATGTTACAACATCATTATTTCACCCAAACGTTCTGCACAGAGAGAGGTGTTCGCGTGGGAACAAACCCGGGACCGCCTCGTTCCAGCTCTCCTGGGGGATGCACAAAGGCCAGCCCTGCCTGCCAGCTCCTGGAAAATCATCTCATCCATCCCAGCCACGGGAGGGATGGACCTGACCCAGCGTTCTCCTTTTCCTATGGCAGGTTTGCCTTATGGTCTCGCCATACAGGGGATATTTCGGGGACGTTTCTGCATTTTAAGGCTTCCTCCTCCATAAATATAAATATAAACCTCCATAAATATAGACCAGGCCTGAGGGACCGGCACCACCCCCCCTCCAGGTGATTTTGATGTGCTTCAAACCCAGAGAGTCACTAAATAGCAAAAACTGCCTCAAAAGCAAATTAAAGCTCCTCTAATTCCACCACAGCAGGGTCTGGCGGGGGTGGGTGGTGACTTCCCACTACGTTTCGACTCATTGCCATTCAGTATTTTTAGCTCCTGCCCTCCTGGTGGGATGCAGCTCCTGGTTCTCTTGCTGCCAGCTCTGTGCCACAGCTGAGCCCTTCCCTGGGCAACCCCAGCCCCTCCTGGCCTGCCTGTGGAGAGGGGCCAAGGCAAACACCGCCCTCCTCACCCCCCTGTGTCCTGGCCAGCCTGCACATGCTCCAACACTCTTAAATCTGTAGCCAGAGAAATACGTTAATGGGCAAATTAGAGTGATTGAAACATCTCCATCCTGCTCATCCGGGTCCTATTGACAGCAAGGGCTTGAGGACTCTAAAACTGAGACACTGAGCAGGAAAACCAAGACGTGCCAGACCTCTGATCCACCGGCAGCGAGCTCTGGGTTGAAGGACCTTGGAACTGATTCCTGGGGTGAGGGCTGGGCCGTTGCCAGCCCGGTGCCCACACTCCAGACGTGGATGCCAAAGCCCAGGGGCACACGGTGTGTCCCTCCCTGCTCCAGAGCTTGGCACAGAGGGGGCCCTGCATGCCCATCACCAGGTGCCCCCCACACAATCCACTCCAAAGCCTTTGGCACCTGCTGAGGTTGGAGGTGGCTGGTTGCGAGCAGGATGAGTCCCTACAGCAGGATGGGCTGAGCGAGGAGAGTGGCCACCCAGGGGAGAAACACAACACGAGGCCCACCCTGCTGTGACAGGGGTGACCCCCCTGTCCTCTTGAAGTGTGCACAGTGCTGGTCACTTGGGCCATCAGGTGGGGATGGTGCCCACGCATGTGGGGCTGGATGGCCCCCCCGGGCAGTGCTGGACCACACGTGCCAAGGCTGATGCCCTCCCAGCACCACTCTGCCCCAGGCTCCCCTCACTCCCCGGGGTTCACAGCAGGCTGAGAGCCCCCCAATTAGCCCTGAAAAGTGGGGTGACAACGCCCTCGGGTGCCAGGAGCACGTGGAGAAAGAGATGTTGCAAAGCCCACCCACATCGGCGGGGCTGGGCCGGTGGGTGCCCGTCCTGCGGGGCAAGACACACGGATGCTGCGACACCCCCAGCAGCTCAAAGAACCCCCAGACACGTAACCCCCCGCCAGCACTGACTTACGGGTGGCAGCCGTCGGCATCCTCGCAGCCTCGGGGGTCGCAGGGGGCTCTTGGCAGCAGCCCGTGGCATGGGAGCCCATGGCACGTCCCGGGCAATCAGCGGCGGCCGGCTCGGTCCCCTCCGCTCCCCGGGAAGGGCTGGGGGGAGCGGGGCAGCGCTGCGCTCCCCGGCATCGCTGCAATCACCACGGCAACCGCGGGTGACTCACGAGCCTTTCCGAGTGACATCAGAGATGCGGAGGAGGGGGCCGGGGGCTGGAGGGCGATGCCGGCAGCAGATATTCCCGGTTCGGTTTTGTTGGGCGAAGCTGGAAGGTTTTTGTGCACGGAAAACGTGCAGATCCATCCCCCCCTCCCCGCCCAGGGCAGCGTCTCGCCGGGATCTTGGTGTTATTTCGAGGGAGAACCGGGGAGTCAGGAGGGGAGGAGATACCGGAGCCCGTCCAGCTCTGAAGGCTGCCCGGTGCTGGGACTTGGATTCTGTTCCAAAAAAACCCCGATCAGATTAACAAACCCAGTTTAAAATTACTTACTTTGACCGGTTTCCCCTTGGTCCCAGGGGTGTAAATAGCGGGGGAGTCACCTCGGAGGGGGATGTGCTGGGCTCCTTGTCTTCAGCCACGCTGCTCCTGCACATCATCCCTGTGGAACCTGCCCTGCAGCTCCCAGCACTCGTGGTCGTGGGAGCAGAAAGGGGACCTTGCTTGGAAACCAGTCCCGAGCAGGGAGGAATGTTTGCTGGGCACACACACACACGCAGGGGGTTGGGATCAGCTCACAAACGTTTCCCAGCAGACATTGTTCAGAGGGATTTGGCAGCAGGTTTGCTCAGGGCCCTTCCTCACCCACCATCTGCAGCTCCGTCCCCTCACGGCCTCCCTCAGACTGAGCCCGGTGAGACAGAGGGAGGTATTTTTAGCGGGATGAGAGCCCTGCACGAGGCTCTGTGCTGAGCAGGAGCAGCACTGGGTCAGCCCAGCAGCTACACCATCTCCAAAGAATAAACTTCCATCGACCTTCCCCCGGGAGCGGCTCCAGGGGCATCACTCAACACCCCCCCACCAGGCAACCTTCTGGGGGCTCCTGGGCATCCCTGCTGGGCCTCGGGGAACCCAACGCTTGGGGCTTTTATTTTTAGCCCAGCGAACTAAAAATACAGCCCGTGGTAACCCACGGGAATCCGGGCGATGGCTCAGCCCAGGGAAGCCCGTGGTGGTCAGAGCTGCACCACCAGCTCTCCAGACCTCCCACTTCCAGACACCTGGGCTGGATGGAAATACCTCAAACCACTTCTGGGTTGGGCTGCAGCAGGCACGATGTTGCTGCAAGGGGGAGAGGGGGCTGGCAGGAGGAGTGGGCTGCTGCCTGTTCCTGACAGCAGATGGGAGAGGAGGGCTGGGGAAGGTTCACCGCAGGCCAGAGCGCAGATTTCAGGGAGGATTGTGCATTTTTCCCTTTTTTAGGTGAGTGTTCCCATGTGGGAGCAGGGGAGGAAGGCACTGTCTGTGAGGGAACCAGGAGTAGGGGTGTCCAGGCAGAGAGCACCCCGTGATTCATCCCAGGCAGCCTGGCAACCAGCTCCTGTGCAGGGAAAACACAGATGGAGCAGGGATGCTGCAGCACTGATCCAACAGCGTGGAAATAGCTGCCTGGGGTCCTTTTAAGGATGATTTTGAAAGCTCTGAACTAGTTCCCTTTTCTTGCATGCTCACAGAGGAGCTGTGTGGGGTCCAGCAGCCCACAGTGCCTGGATCAGCCCGGCTGGGACTGTATGACCACCTGGGAACAGAGTGAAAAATCTAATTCCACGGGCCAAGACACCCAGAGAGATGTCCCAGCACCCTACCTAGCCCTCTCAACAGGTAGGGGTTGGGGTGGGTGTATGGTTGGAGGCAGCAGGGGCAGCTCAAGCTCTGCTATTCCAAGGGTTGTCCTGCATAGCCACTCCAGGAGGAGCTCAGTAAATAATCCAACCCAGCTCCAGGGGTGTGGGAGCTGCTGCAGGCCAGGACTCCTGGGCATGGATTCCCTGTGGAGCAGCCCTTGCTCAGAGGACAAACAGAGGTTCACTGCAACACAAATGTGGTTTATGCCCGAGCCATGGCTCATAAAAGCCGAGAAACCACATCATGCAGAAGTGCTCCCAGTGTGCCAGGAATAATTCCAGCACCAGCAGCCACACACACACACCTGCACAGCCCCAGAGGCTCAGCCAGCCCTCCACAGGGAGGAGAAGTGAAGCCTCCACAGCCACTGCTCCCACTGAGCTCCCAGCTCCACACAGGCACTTCCCAGAGTGGGAGAGCTCGTTACGCAACTGCTGATGGCATCGGTAACCAAACCTGTTTGAGCTGCAACTCTTCCCTGGGACAGAGCAGGGGAGCAGCACTGGATGGCTGCAGGACCCCAAAGTGCAGTTTTGGCATCCCACCTGCAGCCCAGCACCCAGGGCCACCAGTGACCCCCCCCAGGAACCCCGGGCACTGCAGCTCTCAGCTCAGGCCTCGTATTCAGGCACCAGCTCCTCAGCCAGGCATCTGCTTTACCCCCCTGGCATCGAGAGCTGGTCACCTCTCCAGGTTTATTTTGGTCCAGCACATCTCGAGTTACTGATGTCCCTCCCCCAGCTCCTCCAGGGCCTGGATTCCTGGGGACACTGGATCCACAGGGCCAGGCTCAGGTCACGCTCACTGGCACTCGTGCCAAGCTCACACATGCTCAACACAGCCCTGCCCACTCTCCAGCCATTTTCCACAAACATTTTCCACTGGAGCAACATCCAGTTCCCAACGGACAGTCCTGCATTTGAAGCGAGAGCTTTCCAATAGGAGAACAAAAGAATTTCTCCATTAATTCTGCCCCAAACCCAATTACCCTCCAGCAAATCATCCCCAGCAGCTTCCAGAGCTGCCGCTTCCTTCGGCCAATTCCTCTCAGAACAACAGCAATTCCAAAGAAAAAAAAAAAAAAGGCACGATTGAGCACAGAGGGAACAATGAGACTGTCACTGAGGGAACTCCCAAGGGCAGCATCTGCTGCTTCCTTCTGTCCCACAGAATCACAATGGGTTGGGCTGGGAGGGACCTTAAACTCATCTCATTCCACCCCTGCCACGGGCAGGGACACTTTCCACCAGACCAGGTTGCTCCCATGAACACTTGCAGGGATGTGAAAAAGGAGTGAACACAGGGAAGGAGAAAGCCTGACACGTTTGGCAAACTGCCCCTGGAGGGGCTGGGAACGGCTCTTGCCCCACTGCTGGTGTTGTCAGCGATGTCTCACCTTGCCAACACCAAGTTGATTTTTGCACAAGTGCGACCTGGACTCACCTTCCCCGCCCTTCATGGCAGGATTTGGGCCTGGCTGGAGGTGGTTCCTGGGCTGGAGCAGCCGCAGCCTCGCTGCTTATCCCTGCTGGAGAAGCCCGGTGACACCTCCCTGTGCTGAAATCACCCTTCACACCGAGAGCTGACAAACCCCACGCCAATTTACAGCCCAGCCTGTCACTCATGGAGCAGCACTTGTTCATTTTTAAGGTGTGGGTTTCTGCCCAGACCTGCTGTACCAGTTTGGGTTCAGAGGTACCATTACCTAATGATACACCCCAAGCTGCTTTAAGGGTGTTTTAATTCTAAATTAGTGGAGAGCTGGACCTTTGAATTGTCCTGCTGCTGATCTGTGCATTACAGGGAACGCCAGTTAGGGCCACCTGACCCCACAAACACCTGCATTTAACACCACATTTACCAGCCTGCCCTGAGCAAGCAGTGCTTGGATGTCTCATCCACTAACCCCCCACCTCTCACCGGATGCCATGACAATGACTCTCAACTCCCCAGCACTTGGTGCAACCTGTGCTACACAAACAGGCTGCTGGGGGGGGTTCCTTGCCCTAAATATTGGGGGAAAATGCTGATTAAGAAAAAAACAAACCCCCCAAAATCCCTGAATGTACTCTAGAGGTCCTGTCTCGTTCAGAGAAATAATCTCACACACTTACACTCGTCATCAGTTGTCTCCAAGGCAGCTGCAGACAAAGGCCAGGGCTTGGAGGCTCTTCCCAGCTCAATCCCAGATCTCCAGCAGCCCGAAGGGAATTTTGGTTACATCACGTGTGAGTTGCTGCATCCCACCAGCTGCTCCTTGCTGGAGCTGCTTTCCTTAATGAGGGTTCCCTTGTTGGGAAAGAAAGGGCTTCAATTTGTCAGTCAACAACTGTCAAGATAAATCCCTCTCCAAAGGCATCTGAACATCCCAAGGGGATCACCAGATCTTGGTTCACAAAGCCCTTGCAATGAATCTCCCCAAAATGCAACTCCTCCTGAAAAACAGAGGGATAAATTCCAGGTGCAAAACCAGCTCCTGCACAAATTCTGTGGAAGTTTCCTGACTAGGAAATACAAATATCCCGCTTTTGGAGAAACAATCCCAGCAACCCACAGGACAACAGTGTGGATCCACAAACCTCTGCTGCTGCTGCGAATGATGTTTCAGGACACCTTGTAATAAATCAAAAAAACTTTATTTTTTATGATATATTATAAATGTACAACACACATGACATCAGTGTCTCGGTGTGTTTATGTGTGAGCAGGTTTAAGCCTCGGGATTCATTCCAGGCCCGGCCGTGGGTCTGACACCTCCATACGCGATAATTCCAGCCTGGACAGGCCTGGCTTTGCCAACACCTCCCTAATTTCCAGGAATACATTTCAGCAGACAACAGCAACTGCTTAAACCCATCACAAATTAGCAGCGTTCCTTGTTTTTTTTGGTTTTGTTTTTTTTTTTCTTTTTGCCTGGAGGGTTTCTGGAGGGAGCAAACCCCGCTGGTTTTTACCCCACTCGGGGGGGGGCGGCCAGAATGAATCCCGAAATTCCACAGGCTCATCCGCCCTAGTGAAGCTTCAGAAAAAGGAACATTACGCCTTAGGAAGAGCTGTGCATGCCACACACTGCTGACAGTGCCAGATCAAAGTTATCCTACAGTGGTACCTAATTATTGGATACACAGGTGAACATGAGAAGGAACGTGAAGTCAGTACCTTTGCGATATCGATTCACCGGTGCTGCCTCGGGGGAAGTGCTGGGTAGCAAATCACATTCGTGGACAGTTCGTTAAGCCATGATAAAAATATGCAAATTAAAAATCAAATCAAATCAAATCTCTCCAGGCCTCTGTTACCTGCTGCAACAAAGACGCTTGGGCTTGTGGGGCTTCGCTTAAAGCGTGATCCAATTTCCTCCCTCTCCCCGGAGCATGATATAAAACTATACCCAAATTCAGTAAGAATTTAATGCATTTACATTTATTGAAGTTCACACACAGCTGCAAACATCGGAGATCTTCAAATCTAGGGCAAGAGGTCCTGAAAAAACCCCTTTTGCTACACCCAGATGTCGGGATGGAGGTGGGAATGACCCCCATGAGAGCACATTCACGTGGACATAGTTTCCTCTGCAGGGAGGTGGGGGTTGCACCCACTGCCCTACACCAGCCAGCACAAATCCCTCCAAACTGTCCCAGGGAGGAGGATACAGGAGTATCCCAAACCTCAGAGACTCACAGTCGGATGGCAATACCAGCTGGAAGCGCCGCTGTTCCGCGAGTTCATAAAAATGTTATTTACTATTCAAAGTAGAAAAACAGGGCGGTTGCTTTGGATGAAACACTCACTATCCTGTGCACAAGACTTTGGGAAAATTGCCCCTGGAGCAGGGATCACAGGTAACCTCTGTGTCCCTCCCACAGGCAAGATCTGCTGACAGTGCCGCTGTACATTCGTTTGGTGCGATGCTGATTTCAACAACTTCCAACATATATTAAAAAGACCCTCAGCCCACGAATCGCAATGCCTAAAAAAAAATTCATTGTAACAGTCCTAACTAAAACAAAAAAAAAAAAAAAAAAGGATTTCAATAACCACTAAAGTGTTGCTTGGATATGAAGATCAATCTCCAAAAGACAAGTTTGGTTCCAGGAGAGCGAGGAAAGAAATGGGGGGAGGGGTGGTCAAGGTTTGGGACACGCCTGTGACAGAGGCTGCGAGGAGCCAAGGAAAGCCACGAGCTGCAGGTCTTGGAGCTTGTGCAGGAGGGAACCTCGCACCTTCCCAGAGGAGGAATGCACTGCTGGCTGCTTTAGGAACCATGCAAGGCAATTTTCCAGCTGCATGGAGAACACAAACGTCCTTGAGACGGAGCAGAGGGCAGCGAGCCGGGAAGCAGCCGGGTTATCCCGGGTGACCACATCCAGGGAGCGAGGCAGCAATCCTAAAGGAAGACTCATGCCACTGCTCACAGGGAGACAAGGGATGGCAGATTCTTTGGACTGGACCAGGGGCTAGGGGGTTAGCAGGAGTTCCACAAGCTCGGGCTCACAGGACAATCAAGGTCCAAGCTGAAGTAGCCACTGGCCTTTTTTTTTTTTTCCAAATACATCCCTTTAAATGCATCCCCCCTAAAAAGAGTATAAATACGAAGCCCTGAGAACAAACTTCCATAGAGTACATTTCTATTAAAAATATCAGTGTTCTGATGACAAAATTATAAGTTAGGTAAGAGTTAAATAAATAGCTGGTTGGCTTGCAAGAGTCCTGTCGCAGCAAAAGGTACACGATTGTCTCTATCAGTGGGGACTGCAAGAAGCACAATTTGTCATTTACCACCCCATCTCCTCCCTGCTCCAGCTCACAGGCCTCCAAATATTCCCCCAGACCGTGTCAGGAGAAACTTAACTGTGACCTGTCCCTGCTGGTTAGAACCTTGAACACCAGATAGGCAAGGACAGGACCTGAGCCTGTAAAACCCTCACGGTGAGTTCCTCACAAAACCCCCTGGTTTATTCACCAAGTCTGTCCCCTGGGTTTAGGGATCTCTCACAGGCCAGACCCACCAGGGAACAGGCCAGTTGATCAGGCAAAGCTCTTGTCACACACATTCCTTGTGCCCGGTGAGCAGGCAATCCCACTCGGGCATGGTGATTATTCCGCTTTTTTTGGCAGGTTTTGTAAAAACTGGGCCAATCAAAGCCCTTTACAAGCACCACGGGCTCGACTGCTCCCTGCACTTCTGTGAAGCAGCAGCAATCCCACCCCCTGGAGGGGTGGGGACACAGCTCCTGGATTAATTCACACCCCAAACCCACAGCAATTCCTCACGTGTTCCTTTCACCCCAAGGGCAGTTTTGGGTTGTTTTAAACCAAATCCTACTGCAAACACCCCCCTTCCCCCCCCAAATTCTGCTCTCTCTCAGCTTTTGGCCACTGCAAACTCCAGTTCTCACAAGCCAAGCAGGGCCCTGTTAAAGCCACCCCAAACAAGAACAACCTCTCCAACACCTCAGCTGGGCAAGTGTGGAGCTCTGGAACCACCAAACTCAGGAATAACCAGGGATTCTCAAGCCTCCAAGCATTCCAAAGGTGCAGCATTCCTTTATCCCTACAGCCTGTAACTGCTGCTGCTGGACCTGGGCAGTCTCACCTTCTACTACAGAAGAATAATTTGTTTTACTGATGTTTTTTTTCACACACTTTTTAACCAGTTCAGTGGCACTGAGGGTTTCCTGGCTGCCCCAAGGGAGGCTGCTTGGATCCCTTTTATCTCCCTGGAAGCTCCAAAGCCACCTCCACAGTCCAACCATGTGCTGCTGAAATCAAACCCAGCATTTCCCAAGCCTTTCCATTCCTCAGGACTGTTCCTTAAGTTTGAACCTCTCCTTATCCACTCAACAGCCAAAAAAAACCCCTCCCCCCATCAAACTACAGGGTAGTTTTCCCCCAACTTTCCCTTCTAAAAACAGTCATTAAAAGGAATATTAACCAGAATCCTGATCGGTAGAGAAGGACATGTGGCTCTAACATGAAGAGCTTCAAGTAAAACAGTCTTCTGGTATTATTACAAGAAAAAAAAAAAGCTTCAGGAATAAGGAAAAAAAAACAGACAAAATAATCAAAACCTCTCATTAACACCACAACATTCAGTCACAACTACTCGAGCTCGCTGGGGTGCAGGATCTGCTTCCTGGCTTGAGTTACAGGACCAGGTTATAATTTAATGTCATGTTGTCCAAGTCTATTCTTAGCAAGAAGCCCACAAAAAATGGTTTTAACTGTCCAATTTGAACAGAAGAAGCATCACTACAAAGCTTGGAATTCCTAAATGTAGAAGTAAATAATACCTCAGCAGTCCTCAACTGTAAAAGCTTCAGATGAAATTACAAATTGCAAAACAAAACAAAACAAAACAAACCCCCAAAAAACCACCACCAACAAAAAAAAATAAAATCCTGGGATAGTAAGTCAAGATAAAATCTCAGGCTGTTTTGACTTCCCCACCCTTCATATTAATGATGAGAAATTGGCAACTTCAGCGCCTCGACTGCAAAACAGCACAGAGCACATGCCGAGCTCAGGCCAAAACTTGTTGGAGGGTTTCAGGTTGCATCTTGTTTAAATGCAGTTTTGTTTTAAAAAAAAAAAAAAAAAAAAAAAAAAAAAAAAAGACAACCCAACAACCCAACTGCACAGAAAAACCCTCCCACACTTGCAGAGGTGCTCAGGACTGCCAGGACACCTCTGGGCTTGGTTAAGCACAGGGTTTCCCTCCTGGTTACTCTGCAGTTTGGACTTGCCCATCCTGCCCTTTCCCAAGGGGCTGTGAAGCACAGGACATGGCAGGGATGATGGTAGATGTCATTTAAGTTGGAAATAACTCCCTTTTTTTTTTTTTTAGCAGACTGTTAAAAAGTAACACCTGCAGAGCCCAGTTGTAAAATATCCCAGCTGTGGATATTCCCAGTTCTGCTCTTCAAAGCTCAGGATTCCTCTCTCAAACCTCGAGTCAGTCTTCTGGCAAAGTAGGAAAGACCCAGCCTGACATTCTTGGTATGGCCATGGTAAAAATAAGCACAAAGAAACCCCGCTTCTAACTCCAAAGATAACAGTTTCAAGCATGCTTTAAATGCCTTAAACAAGATAAAAACCTACGTGGTTCTGCTGTTTTACAGATCAACAACTCCCACCCCCCCCTCCATGCAAATCAGCTGCTTCTTTGTAAACAGAATAAAAACCCCAACAAAAGTCCCTTTCCAAAACTGTGCACGTAAAAAGGGGGCAAAAACCCCACTGTGTGATCACATCCCCCCCCCCCCCCCCCCCTTGCAATGGGATATGGCAGAGTATGAGCTCAGGAACTGCAGCCACGTGGGAATTCAAGTCTTGCTGTGGTGAATTCTGTGGTGAGAGAGAAGCTGCACCTTTGTGGTACCTGACACAGAGAAGCTCCTGCGAGGACAACCCCTGTGGGACTGCAACAACACTGACGCAGCAAATAAATAGGAAAAAGTAATGCTACTTCTTAGAATTCCACCTCTGAATGATTCTGTTTAAATTAAACAACTCTGGACAGAAATGTGCTTGCTCTCCCAAGATTTTGGGCTTTTAAAAACAACGTTTCCTAAAATCGATTTATTCTTTTTTTTTTTTTTTTCCCTTAAAAAACCCCACAAAAGCAGATTTGCAATTTGATCAAGCCATAAATTAATACTGCACGGAGATGATTAATATCCTATGCCAGTGGTCAGTGACCTTTTGTAAACACTAGCCAGGTCCTAGCAAAGCTGGCTAGAAAACTACTGTCACAGGCCTTTTTAACGAGCAGGATCGTGTTTCTTTCCAACAATCAGATTCTGAAGTGTTTTCACAAAACCTTTTCCTATTTTTTGTGTGTTTTTTGTGTGTTTTTTTTTTTTTTTTCTGATATACTTTATTTTAAACCTAATACCTGAAAACAGAAACAAGCCTTCAAACCTCTCTTCCACTAACACTAAATCCACAAGGCAACTCACTCCAGTTGGCCGTAACTACAAAAGCTCTCGGGGGGGGGAGAGACCCCACCTCAGGATCTCCCCCTCGCCTCCCTTCCCCTTCCAGCTGCCTCCCAGCTCCCAGATTTCCATGGAGTGAGGGGCAGGAGGAAGTGGCACAGTGCACTGGGAACCCCCTCTACGTGCGGTTGAGCGTCTGGAAGATGCGGGAGATCTGCAACATCACCGGCCCGGTTTCGGGGTCGTTCATCCACTGGGTGCTGTTCAAGGGGTTTTCAAGCATATCCTCGAAGGCTGCCAAGAGATGGGAATTGCAACAGTCAGTCCTTGCAGAGCTCCAGGGGTTTCAGGGCAGTTGGAAATGGTTACAGCTCAAAGGCAGGGGGCAAACGGGACCCAGAAATGGTGGGAATGCCCCTCGTCCCATCTGCGCTCCAGAGCCTCCACGGTCTGGGGTGATGCTCCAGGTTGGGCTTTCCTCATTTCTCAGCATTAAATTCACTGCAGACAGTGATTAAATGCTCAGCCTGGATTACAGTCCAGCCCACAAAACCTCAAGGACGTGGGGTTGAAGAGCTAAAGCCTCAACAAATGTCCCCAGGAGTTTGTCTGCAGGGACATGCCATGCAATCCACCCGTTTGGGAAGGCCCATCTGCTGCCAGCACTCCTATAAAACACTGTCCTGCAGCCCCATTCCCTCTGATCAAACATTTTCCCATATCCCAGCCTGGATTTCTTGCACCAGCATCCCTTTTTTCCCTGGTACTCAACCCAGGCAGTTCATGGAAAGCACCATCACCCCTTGGCTGTTCCCTGTGAGGTTCCTCTGGAGAGGACACTGAGCCAGCAAAAGCAGAAATGCCAAAGGCTACACAGAGCCAGCACAAGTGTAGCCCTTCAAGCCCCCAAATCTCAGAGTTCCAGCTTTTCCAGAGGCCCTGGAGCCACAAGGGAAGCAGCACCTTATTCCTCCTTCCTGATAGAGCAGAGGATGTCAGGGAGGCAGCCAGACACAGGAGGGGAAAGGCTGAGTGTGCAGGAAAAAAAAAAAAAAACACCATTTTTTTAAGAGCATTTTTTCCTTCTGTCTTTACAATTCTGTCTTTCACTCTGCTCCTCATGTTGAAGGAACCAGGCAGCCACTGCAAGAGCCAGGCTGCAAATCTGGCAGGAAAATGGGCCAGGCAATGATTTCTAAGCCTTCTGACAGACACTGAGCTGGACTCCTGGACATTTGGAGCCAGTCATTACAGAACAGGACAAAAAAAGCAGCTGCACAGTCACCAAAATGTCAGTGTTGAGTCTGGCACCAAGGTCAGTGTTAGTTTTCCCAGGAGTGGCAGGGCACAAAGCTCAGCTGCCATCGGTGGGAGCTGGAAGGGCCCAGCACCTCTGAAAGCCTCCTCATTAATACCTTGCTCAAGGTCATGCAGCTCTGCCTTCCAAAGGAAAGCCCAAAATAAAATACACATCTCACCTCTCACCACTTGAATTATATTCTTTTACACAGACTCATAAGCTTAAAACTAAAGATCTATCAATACTCTGTATGAAAGCCATTAAATGTAAAAACTCATTATTAAAAATCTGTGACATAAGCAATTTGCAGATGCGTCACTAGGAATATATTCTCTGATGTTCATACAAGCTCCTATAATGGCATTTCATTTTCTATTTCTATTCTGAGCTGCAGTGTGGAACCCTGGTTGGAAAAATGAAGAGACCATTTGTTCAGAAATCAGGAGTGGGAAGGTTCTGCTCTTGAATTATTTAAAGGCTTGCAAACTCTCCTAATTACATTTAAAGCAGTATTTTTAAGAAGCTCTCTTGAATGAGCTGTGCCTGCAGCCCTTGTTTAAAGGCTTTGCCTCCAATAAATGTTGAAGACAAAGACTAAATGCAAAAGTCTAAATGTACAGCACAGAGCCAGTCATTGTTCTGTGCTGTCAGAGGCAGCAATTCCTCCCAGCTTGGAGGTTCTGCTGGGGACATGCTGTGCTCCCAGCCTTTTCTGACCATGAACACCCAGACTTCACCCCAGAGCTCAAACCCACACGAGGGAAATGTGTGTTTGCACATTTTATCTCAATTTTGACAGGCAAAGCCTTCAGCTCAGCCTTCTTGTTTGGATACTTCTCCACGAGTCATCTTCTGTCTCAGTGATCAGGCCTCGCTCACAGGGAGCTGCAGAGCAGGACACAGCCTTGTTTTTTCTGGGAAATAATCAAGAGTTTCGAGACAGACATTCCTGATTTTTCCCCTCGTGGCCAAAGGGAGCACACAAAAGGTCTCCTAAATCCACAAAAGCACTGCAAGCCAGCAGCTATTCAAGTTCTGAGTTCAGCAAGTGTAATCCTGGGGAATTAGGATCATTTCTGGGACAGCCCCAAGGTCTGGGTTGAGCTGAGCTGTGGGATGAAGCAAACAAACACCATGGCTGGAAGGGAGGGAAAGGGCCCAGAGCTGCCCCAATCCCCCAAAGGGGGCTGTCAGCACCCAGGTTCCCCTTCCACTGGCTAGAAAACACATGGATGTGCAGCAGGAACCCAGGCACCACTTACCTAGTAGAGTTTTAGGGTTGGTGAGCCCTAACTGTACCACTGGGTTTTCTAAGATGGCTTGGAAGAGAGGGCTGTTGGTGTCAATGCCCTTATCTAAGTCCTCTGGAGAAGGTTTCCTGTCTCCCAGCAGCCACTCGCACTGAAAGAAATCACCAGGCACAACAGATTTTCATTAGAATCCAAGGGTCTCAACATAAGAGTTTTGATAAAGTGGCATTTTAAAGATGTTTTTTCCTCCCCCAGTTAAAGACTGAGCTGTGCATTTCTTTTCCCACCAGTTTAACTCTTCACTGGTACCAGCCAGCCCAGTATCCTCTCTCCAACAGCAGCCAGCACTGGATCCTTAGGAGGAGGAAATTCCTTGGCTGTCAGCTGGGTCCACAGAATTTTCCTTAGCACATCACCCACTAGCAGGGGGACTAATCAACCTTTGAAAACCTTAACATTTTTTCTGATTCCAGAAATCGTGGAAGCATTGTTGCTGAATGGCCATTTCCACACTGCTTCAATCTCTGCTGGCTCATTTATTCCTGTCCTTTAATCAGTTATTAATTACAGGGAATACCTTTTTTTTTTTCCTTTCTCAGGAGAGCACAATCTCTTTTGTGAGGGAGTTTCTCAAAAGCTTTTAGGGAGTCCACGTGTGCTGGGCTGGACAGATCAGCCCCACCCTCACCCCCCCTCGAGCTCCTCTGAGAAGTCTGAGAAGTTGTGTATCAAACTTGGAAGAGGCACAGGATTTACTGTGCTCCTTGAATCTCCAGCAGCAGCTGGCTTTAGCACAGAGCAAAACATCACCCAATCCCACAAGGGAAAGGAGCAGCTGAAGAGACTTTCAGAGGAGCAGGGAATGGGAAGGTTGTACTCACGGCTGCGTTTTGCTGGTTGTTGTTTACTCTGAGCGCATCCACCACTTCCTTCTCATCGAATCCCATCTCCATCAGGGCAATGACAGCCTGCAGGGGAATTGCACAGCTTCATGAGTGTAACATTTGAAGCAGAAAGGAGAGCACTCGTGACCTTTCACCTTCTGTGCAGGTGATTTCTGGGGGGTAAAAACCCCTCATTGTTTCCATTTGGGGACCACTCAGTAGCTTTATCAACAAACACCCTACATCAAAAATGTCTTTAATATGGAAGAAAATTTAATCTTAAGAGTGAAGGTAGTTCTTGTCCTCAACACTGAAAGCTGAATGCAAGGCAAAGAGTACCTGGGAAAAAAGGGAGAGGCACGGGACAAACACCTTATTTTGGAACTCCTCTCCTGCCATAAAGCTCTTGTTCACATCTGAATGATCAAGGTTCATGTGCATTTGTGGTTTTATTCACTCCTGGATTTATTATACTGGTAGCGACTGTGATGTGTTTGGACAAGAATGTTTCCTTGCTGAGAAACTGCACCAGGTCATCAAATGCATTTGCAGCTTTTAACCCAAATCTCAAGTGCCAGATGTCCAAGAGCCCCTCCTGGTGAGCCCCCCGTGTGAGAACAACATCATCTCACTGCAGCCAGTCCTGTGGTCTGAAGAAAAGAGGGCAACTTCTGTGTTTGCTGCTGGTGATACCTTTCCTTGCCCCCTAAATACAATCCCACCTTTCTGTCCTTTTCACAGAATCCCAGAATGGTTTGGGTGGGAAGGGATCTTAAAGAGTTCATCCAGTTCCAGCTCCCTCCCACCTTCCACAAGTCCAGGCTGCTCAGAGCCCCATCCAGCCTGGAATTCTCTACAGCCAAAGGACCTACTCCTGTCCTGCCACCCTTCCTTCCTACACAGCAGCCAAAAAGGCAGTGCCAGGGGTCTCACTTCAGTCCTCTCAGTTTTCAGGAGCAGAAATAACAGTGTCTCTCATTTAGATCCTGCATTCCCAAGGTAACACCCTTCCAACTCAGAATATTCCACGACTGGAAGTATCCCTGAATTTAAACACTCTCAAGGCTTCCACTGAAATCCTGCTGAGCCAGCCCGACACACAGGTACCCAGATGTCCCATTTCATTTATCAGCTAAACATTTATTAGGATTCCTGGGTGCCCACAGCCCCTTTCACTGGTGATGGATGCACAGGACGTACCCGTGGGTCCGGACGGAACTCTCTTTTCCTCCGGATCTTCTTGAATATTTCCGTCAGCTCATCCTTGGCCTCTTCCCCTCCCTCCTCCGAGCTGGGACCCGCAGCTGCCTCAGCAGAGGAGGCAGCAGCTTCAGCTGTGGCTTCTGCAGGAGTCTGGCCTGGCAGGGGAGCATCCACTGAAGGGTCATCTGCGTGTTCTATCAGCCACTCCATGGCCTGGGTTACCGACATGCTGGGAAACAAACGGGAACACCGGGATAAGGAACACCCCAGAGGCACAGCAGGGCTCCACACACCTCTGCCTTTGCTATTATTCTAAAGTTTTGGATGGACCACGTTTGCTTTTTCGTCCGTGAAATCTGACTTCTACAGCAGAAGAAAATGTGATTGAATAGCTGGAAATAGCCCTGTGACCCACAGACCTTCCAGGGCAATCCAGCCCTGCTTCCCCTTCCCTGAGCCACCTGCACTCTGCCTGAGGCAGCACTGTTCTCTGAGTTAGTGCTTTTCCCATCCTAAATTTAGGTGACCCACATAAGGAAACTTCAGGAAAAACGCAGATTTTTTTTTTTTTTTTTCCCCCAAGCATATGCAGTGATTTACTTACTGATTTAACCGGAGGGCCTTGACAGCTCTGCTCTCTGGGAAGCCCATCTCTGTGAGCTGCCTCAGAGCTATTTCATCCACTCTGTCCTCCTCATCCTCATCCAGCATGGCTGCACACACACAAACAGAACAATGCTCAAACTGACTGCAGGCTCAAACAAACCCCTGTGTCAATGCAATGGCATGTGTGAAGTTCAAGCCCCATTCTCTCTTCCATCCCTTCTTTTGTTCCTGCCCCCCCCAAGTTCGCCACCTCATCGTTTAATTTGCTGCTCTCAGCTCAGTCTGGCTCAGAGAGATTCTTCCAGGACAAAGACTTTGCCCAGATGTGTTCAAGATCTCAAACAAAAGGCAGTTAACTCACACATGACCAGGGGATTGCCCCATAATCAAATATGTGAGATTCACTGAAGATCCACTGATCCAGAAATTAGGTTGGATCTTGCTGTAGCAGCTCTCAAGGACGAGCATTTCCCACCAGCTGAATCAGGAGCCACAGTTTCTCCTCATTTTACTGCCTCCTTGTGCATTTTCAACTATTCTTCACCATCCCTACTGATCATTTCTAAATGGAACTTCTCATCCACCCCAAAGGGACCTTACAAATCCACAAGTTTTGTACAATCTACACCCACAAGGTGAAACTTTGGACACAGAGTTCGTAGCGGCTTTGCTGCCACATCAGGGTCTGAACTTCCTTCTGAGCCCATTCCTGTCCTCTGGAAGCAAACAAATCCCCAGGATTGAGCTATAAAGATATGTTCATACCATTTGCCTTCTTAAATAGTTCAACTGCATCTGGGTTCAGTGCTAACAATTTCTGTGCAACTTCTATGAGAGACACCAAGATCTTCCGGAGCTCTGTCTGGAACTGCAAGAAAGGAAACTGTCAAAACATTTAGACAGGACGTTACCAGGCATTTATTAGGGCTTTATTTTCATTCTTTAGTCTCTCAAAAAGCCTTTCCTGGGAAGTGCTACCTCCTGGGCAGAAAGGTCCTTTTATTTCTACTCCATGGGCAGCGGTCAAGGAAGAGGAAAAAAAAAAAAACAAACCACTGCAAACACCTGAACTATTTAAGCCCAAAGAAATAAACCCCTCTAATTTAACATCTGCCAGACCTTGAATATGTTCTGAGGCTTTGCCATGAATAAAACATTTCGATCCTAAAATACAAATAAAAATCCTAAAATCAAAATATGAGGATCATAAAATCACCCTGTGATTCCATGATCATTTAGAAACAGTGGGGTTTTTTCATCACTAAACAGCATAAGCTGTGTCTAAACTTTAAGTCATTTATTTTAATATGCATTATACACATGTGAATTTTTTCTTAAAGGAGAAAGGTAAAATGTGTCAAAGGCTGTTTGGGTGTCAGAGTGGGGGGTTCAGTGCAGTACTCACATCCCTCATGCTGTGATGGGCCACGGTGCGGTCGGCGCTGCGGGAGGGCAGGTTGGCAGTGGCTTTGAGAATGGCATCCTTGTCAGGAGCCTTCTGCTCCTGCTTCCTCTGCAGGGAAGGGAACAGGAGCAGGTTTCATAACCCATTATCCACAGATCAGAGAACACAGCAGTTTCAGACTCTCCACCAAGGCACCAAGCAGTGCCCTGTAGCTTCAATACCACGGACTGACAGCACCGGTGTCACTCTGCGGTGACAGAGCTAAGCTGGGCCTGTTGGTTGCCCCACTTCCACTCCTCACAACTATTGCTGTTATCTGAACAGGCAGGGAAACCCAGCAGAAAGAGGGAGATGTATCACAGAGGTCTCAGTGCCCAGGACCATATTCTGCTCCCCAGGGCCTGCTCACAGCTCAGCTCATCCAGAGCTGCACCAGCGCCGGGCACAGGAAACACTTCCCTGCTGATCCCTGGGGGAGCTGCACTGCCTGCCAGGATCACGCAGGGAATCTGCAGCACATGCTCCTGAGCCAGCACAAAACATAGCAGGGTCCAGGCTATAAATATTCCCAGGTCTCATAACTTGTGCTCTTACAGTGACATTCTGCACAGCAAGGCCACGCTGAGGAGAGAGAGGGACACAATCCCTGCAGGAAGGGATGCACAGACACAGCAATCCCTGCAGGAAGGGATGCACAGACACACCCGTGCAAGGATGAAGAAGAGACACCCAGGAATTCCCCATTTCAAGCACAAAGCACTCCCTGAAGTGTTTATGTGGTTTGCATGAACTGCAGTAACACTGGTGCACAAACAGCATCCTTGGGCATCGCTGACCCTCGGGAACAGTTACACACCAAGAAAGTGAAACAAAACAAAATAAACCACTAAGGGGTCAACACTTCAACTCTAGAGACCTGGTTAGAGGGTGGCTAAAGGCAGGAGACAGCAAGTCAACACATTTCTTTGGGTTTTCCAACAAAGCAAGGCACATGCTGAACTATATTTATGAAGTCATCAGACATTTATTCAAAGATCAAATCTATGCCATTTCCATAGAGTGCAGCCGCAGGTCTTATTTTAAGGCATATGTTCTCAGAATGACAGTTAAAAATGTAAAATCAGCTTCCTCTGAGCTTGGAAGAAATATGAAGTAATTTTCCCAGAATGTAATGGTAGCATTTACCTCTGTAAGCAAACAGAGTACAGCACAGCAATCCTTCCACATATCATCAGTAAAGCAGTTAACCAAAACTGCCAAGCTGAGAAGTGTTTCAAACTCACCTTCTCCTCTGCAGACACATCTGCCATTTTGGGGAGTGGAGGTGGTGCACGTTTCTTGATCAAAAGCAACACATCTACAAAGAGAATGACACAGCAACACGTTAGAAAGGATGTGAGGACAGTTCCTGTAAGATAATTCACAAATTCAGTTGTTCCTGGAGATGGATTTTGTATCAACCCCACTATAGCATCAGACCTTTTTCACCCTCTATGACCTGGATGGCTTCACACAATTTCTTGTGTGAAGAAAATTCAAAACTGGGCCCAGGATAAGTTACACTTCGTGTAACTTGTTTCTCTTCCTCACACACCACCCTCAAAGAAAGAGCATTACAGGTTCCAGATGCCTTGTACAGAATTAGTACAGCTCACGATAATAAGAAAAGAACCAGCACTAACAGAGCTTGCACTGAGAAGGAAGCAGCAGAGACAGGCACAGATGGTTTTTGGTCTAAGCTGGGCCCTGCAACAACAGCCAGGCCAGCACCAAGAACTTCCTTTTCCAACAGCAGCCAGGCAAGCCCCAAGCTCCAAGAACTTCCAGCCCCAGGCTGAAGCTCACACTGGTGTGTGAATGGCAGGAGTGGTTCACATCCTGCAGCAGGACAGCACCCCTGGCAGCCCACCTGGGCAGACAAGTCTCCAGTCTCACATCACCTGGCACCAGCTCTCTTTGGGCTTTTAAGATTAATATTCTCCCTTTCAAGGCAGCCTTTTTGTGGAGATCATGTGATGATTTGTAGCCCCTCAGTTACTGCCACAGACAATCTGAGGGAGAAGATGCAGCCACTGCTCAGAGCACAAACCTGGGCAGCCCCTGAACCCTTCAGCCAGGCCTGACTGATGGGCAGTTTTCAGTCCACTGCACTGGGCAGGTACAAAGCAAACCAAAACATGCTCTGCACGACATGTTTCTTGGTGTGGCCCAGCACAGAACAGCCAAGAGCAGCAGCTGGTGAGGGCTGTGAACCCTCCTCTCCTCTGTGCAGCTGGTCAGACGTGCCCAGCCAGGCAGCCCGGGGCACTCAGCTGTCACTGGGATCCCTGTCCCTGCCAGGCAGGAGCAGGGAAGGCAGAGCACACACTGCAGAGGGAAAAGGAGTGGAGGGGCAGTCAGTCACCTGACAGCTTGCTGGGATACACAGCTCCTGCTGCCTGGCTGTGCCAACTGCAATCCAACACTCCACGGGAGCTGGGAAGAACACCCTCCCCCAGCAGGAACAGGTCCTTGCCTTTGCCCAGGATGGCACTTCCCAGCTCCTGGCAGTGCCAGGTGACACTGCCTTGGAAGGGACACCGTGGCAGCAGTTCCCAGGAAGAGGCAGGGACTCTGTTCCTGCAGAGTTTCTGGTTCACACAACATTTCAGTCCTGCTTCTCTCGCTCTCTGACACTGCCCCGACTCCAAAAGGGGCCATTACCTTAAGCTGTCCAGTAAAAGCTGACTCCAGCTCTCTTATTTAGGTCTTTGTTCCACATTTAGAGCTCAGGAGCAAATACACACCCCACAGACTCTACTGTGGTCAGTGAGACCACACTGCAATGGATTTTGACCTGTTTGCAGAGGACAAAGAGGTGTAAACTCCACTCAGACCTCAGCAACCACCCTCCTGCTTCACCTGGACACCCTCAAGAAACCCCCCAGTGTGGTTCTTGAAGCCATAGGACTATCCTTGAATAACTTTGAAGGGTAAATGCTGCCCTGGAGGTTAAAAAAGCTACTTTAAAAGGAGATAAAATAATCAGTTTAACTTATTGACTGAATGCGGCTCTTAATTCCTTTTCAACCCTTAAAAGCAGGAACGAAGAAAAGGAAACTCCTCTGGGGAGATAAGAAAGTCTTTCCCCCCCCCCCTTTTTTTTTTTTGCCACCTTAGTTAGCTTCCTCTGTCAAAGCAGAGAGCAGAGATTAAAAATGTTCCTGCTTGGAACTTGCCAAACGAAACACGACCTCCTGCTTCCAGACTGACGGGATTAAAGCCCAGACAATCTTACCTCGATCTTGAACATTTTCCTCCAGCACTGTTTTTGTGTCTGTCAGCACCTTCTCAGAAGTGGCATGGATCAGCTTGTGATGTGTCACAGTTTTGGGATCCTCCAAGCTCCCGGGGACACACTGCAGAAGACAATAAATACTGGAGATCAAAGGCAGAAATGAGGCCCCTGCATGAATCACTTGGCACTCAAGATTCCCCACATACAACCTGAGCATCATTTCCTGGCTTCTTCACACCTTAAGCCACAGGCCAGTGCACAGAATGTGTTTCATTAAGGAACCTGAGGTTTGATTTGTGCCTTTGTGAGTGGATTTAGACTTTTTTCCACTCCAGGACATCTCTCTCACACTTCACTCCAAGTGCTTGGTCCTGTACTCAGGCCTTGGAGATTGGGAGCAAAGCAAGGATGTTCCAGGGCCCACAGCTCAGTTAATTCTGAGATCAACAGATCATCAAGGTCCCTCACTCTTTAGTGAGCTGCAATTAGTATCGCAAACTAAGAATGCAGATCTGCAAAGAGCAGCCAGTGTTTTACACAAGGGAAGGTTGTAATGATGCAGGGTGCTCTCATTTGTGGTGTGAAAGCAGGAGGGACTCCCTGGTTCATCTAATAATTGCTATTTCCACACACTGTCAGAGTAAACAAGGCATTGCCAGCAGTGATTTGGGTTTATCTGACCCTCAACTGGGCAGTTTCTGCACTTGTTTCAAGCTGAAATCAGATTTGGCTGCTGGAGTCCTAACCTGTCTTTATTAAAAACTGCAGGGAATAATAAGGCCTATTTGGGCACTACATATATCAAAGAGGCTGCTGAGTGAAACACTTGGCTTATCTTCACCCTTTAACATGTCCTGGAAATAGAAAAGCCAGCAGAACAGGCAGTGCCTCTCCAAGCTCTCACCAGTCCCTTTTAATTCTGGAGTTCACAGCCAGGCAGGTGAGAAACCTTTGTTACAGGTGCCTGAGCAACTGCTGGAATCATCAGCCCTGGTGACGCCAAACACTGTTTGCGAAGCTTGGAATCCTCAGAAACCACAGGGCTTGGTTTGTTTTTAAATAAGAAAAAAAGGGGATTTTTTGTTTGTTTGTTTTAGCAACAGAAACATTTGAAAATAGCGCTGACACTCCCTGCTACTAAACCTGGGTGGCTTAAACCATCTGCTTAACAAACACAACTATGGTGTCACAGGTAAGAGAGAAAAATAGTGGGAGGGTTTGGTTTTTTTTTTCCTTTAGCAAACAACAAGAAAAACCCCCAATGTTCTGGAGGGAAAAGTGGCCCCTCTCCTGGTTCAAAACCTGTTACAAAAGTCTCCCTCTGCTCCCTGAAAGAACGATTATAAAGACTTTAGGGAACATAATCATCAGCATCTCACAACAAGTGGCTGCAGAAGTCATCTCAGGGTGCTATCAGGAATCTGTGCAGCAGATCAGGAGTCATGATTTTGGCAGGTCTGTTTTCCCCCTCCATAAAACTATCCATTATCCATCGTGGGTGTGCAAACCCACCCCAGGAGCACAAAGAAGCAGAGAGAATGAACTCAAATATCACATTGAGTTATCAACCTTCTTCTGCCCCGACCTGCGCTGCAAGGGAAGCACCTGTTAATTAAGCTTCCTGATAATTACAGGCCTCTCAGCATCTTTCCCGTGGCTCCTTCAGGTCCTGGAAGGCCACAATTAGGTCAGCCCAAAGCTCCTCTTCTCCAGGCTGAACGATCCCAGTTTTCCCAGCCTTTCCTCCATCCCAGTGGCCTCCTCTGTGTCCTTCCCACGCTGGGACCCCAGAGCTGGACCCAGCACTGCAGGTGAGGTGTCCCCTGCTGACCCCTTCTCATCCCTAAATCCAAAAGCACTTGCACAAGGACTGTGAGACAGGAAAACCAGGGTGTGATGGGACCTGTGGTTTCCAGGGATTCGAGGTGAAAGGACACAACCAGCAGGCCCAAGGCAGAGGCCACCAGGGCTGCTGAGCACCTTTATTTCACCCACAAAACCAAACCCTTAACTCTTCAAATGGGACTTAACCAATGACATAATACAGAGATTTCTCTACTGCACGCGTTTTATGTGGGGAAAAACAAAAAAAAAGTCTTTGCAAGACTTTGAGGATTTTAAAAAAAAAAAAAAAACAGAGTTCAGTGTGAATTACTAAGTTGTGCTCTCAGAGGGGGGAGTTGAGGCTCCTGCTTTTGCCACTCCAAAGCTTCGCGTGCCTCGGGAGGAAACGCAGCAGGATTCAGGATCCAGGGCCGCAGCTGCCAGGGCTGTGCTGGCTCCTGAGCCCAGGGCAGTCCTGGCCACGGGTCCCCCCCCTTCACACGCTGCTGTTGTCAATCAGCACAGCAAAACAGTCGGGGCAGAGCCTCAAAACTCAGCCCAGTGGCTCTGAAACCCCCACCTGGATTTAACCCTGAGCACCACAAACACGGGGGTGACCGAGCACAGGGAGCCCCTGTGCTCCTGCTCAGCTTCCCCAGGCTCTGCCTCTGCTTTTGGTACTTTTTCTCTTTCACACAAGTGACAAGTAATTTACCCTTTGGCCAGTTCCACCAAGAGCACAGGGGGAACATTAGAAGGGCTTTTTATCACCCCCCTAAAAAACACCCTCAGTCGCTCTTGTGCCAGTACAGGGTGAGGCTGCACTAAGATTTTTACAAACCAGGTGATTTTGCCTCCACAGTTACCCCTTTCCCTCTTTGTTCTTACACAGAAACAAGCCAGGCTGTAATTCCTGAGGGTAAATGATCAGAACCAGCTCAGCAGACTCCAATTCACCCCCCCCGCAGCTCACACAGGAGCTGATCTCTGACCCCGCTGCAAAACATGCACCGAACTCTGCAACAAAAGGCTGCAAAGGGATTTCCGCCCAAACCCGCCTTTCCCAACAAACAAAACTCTCCCAAACGGGCGTTTTCTTTCCATATGGAACAATCCCACAGAATTTGGGGGGGGGGGGGGGGGCAGACACAGCAAAGCGCGACACGAAAACATCTGTTTACTCAAACTTCTTTTTTTCCTTCTCTTTTTAAAGACATTTGCAGGGCGTTGGAAATATCAGTTTTTCTCCACGCAGGACGCACCCGCCCTTCGCTCAGTCCCTGATTTCCAGCCCTTCCTCCCCACCGTGATTTCCACCCTTTCCTCTCGGTCCCTGATTTCCCTTGGATCCCCGCTTTCCAGCCCTTCCTCCGAGCCCCAATTCCCACC